TTGTTTTAGGCTTGGTCAGTTAACTTGACCTGGTGACCTGACCTGACATGACCTGGGGTCAAAAATTTCACACATTGTCCAAAATTGATGTACTAAAAGCTACCCCAAGCGGCGCGGCGCTACGCGCCGCGGTTTTTTATTCACACGCCAAAAACGCGACAGGGTGGTAACATATGCCCCCCCCCCCCACTGGGGCGAAGGCCGCCCCACACTGGACCTCGCATGCGGGTTGCGAGTTTTTGGTTTTTCGGGTTTCTTTCAAATCAAATAATACAATCTAAGCTGAGTGACCCACAATACCATCTAACAAGCGAGTCTGCATGTTTTTAGCATGCGAGCCAACTTGCATCGCATTCCAAAAGTTGATTTTGAGTCAGCTTTAGATTTTCCCCGCTGCGAGGTCTGCGAGTTCTGCGAGGTTTGCGGGGTTTTCGTTGAAGTCGAATTTTGGTTGGTTGCACTGGTATTGCGAAATTTTTCTGAAGGTGTACCGGCTTCATTGCATTCATGAAGTTACCATAAGGGAACGGTCTAATCACTCTATGAATTAGTATTATGCCCTCAAACTCAAAACCCGCAAACTCGCAACCCGCATGCGAGGTCCAGTGTGGGGCGGCCTTAAATCAAATCCACAAATATTAGCCAATCGAAAGTCCAGACACCACTAAATTTATTACCTGATGTTCCTGTAAAAGAACAATCAAAACACCAACAGACTGTCCCAGTGTCCAATGTCCGCTGTGTTGACCCTATACCACCTCAGGCTCCCGGAGGTGGTCCCCTTCCCGGCTCCACTGACCCGTTTCCGTCTGGCGGGCGGCGGCCGGCCCGGGTCGGCGCCATCAATCAGCTCCAGCCGCAGGGCACCGCGGTTGATGTAGAACCCGCCGAACTCAGGACGCTGGTTGGACGGCAGGTCCTCCTCGTGCTGTCGAAGGAGATATTACGCAGGTCAGGTCACTAGGCCAGGTCACCCAGGTTAGGTCACTCGGGTCAAAGCACTTCTTAGCTGTTGGCACAATAGGTTGGGTTTAATTTGACGTTATGTAAGTTTTCATACCTATGCACTTGCACTTATGTTAGGCTATAGGCATTATAGCAGCAGAATTGCCAACTGCCCCTACAATTAGACCCATTGGCACTCTCAACCATTCGACACATAAAAATTCCGCTATGACCAATGTCAAATAAATACATCCACAGTTACAACAGCTAACTCAGTAAAATACCGAGTAGTCCACTGACCAACAGAGACTGTGTATTGGACACTAACCACGTCCGAGTTGTCGATGAAGGGGTCGTTCTCGTCGTACCCCTGGCCCAGCTCCGACACATCACGGTGCTTCTTACGCTGCATACCGTCACCGGTGCCCTGAGAAAACAGCGATAGGAGAGGGGTCAGGTTTTGTTGAAGGAACCTGTGAAACAGCAGTGGGACGAGGGTAAGACGTCGTACTAATTTTAGGGTTTATCATTTAAAACGGAGAATATGGCATGGGGACAGCAGTTGTTTACAGGCACACCAGTGTATCAAAGCTGAGCTGTCAGGAGCACTATCAATCCAGTCGCTACGTCTGACCAGCTCCGCCTACCAGCGCGGGTAAACAGTAGTCTGGTTTTCCGTCGAGAGGTAGACACAACACAGGCCACTCAGTATCAGCTGACTGGCACCGTTCAACGATTAAAGCTACCTGGTCCGAGGTGAGGGTCGTCTACCCAAACATTTGTCCGTGCGAGTTATTTCATCGCGACATTGATCGCATGATTACGAAGGAAAAACATCCAAAACGTAATTAATATCATAGAATAGATCTGGATATTGCTGGAATAAAAGTTCCCTGATGCAGTGCGGACCCTACCTTCAAAAATAATCTTTAATATTTTGCTTCATCCGTGCTACTACTCAAAATCCAATCACATTTTTAAAGTTATCAAAAGTTGGCATGCGCTCTCCAGGAAACCGAACCAGTTGCATCACACTGTACCATCTGTTCCATGATCTATTACGGACATACATCGCCCCAAACTGTAGGGGCTCAGACCCGGCCGTCTCCGCCGGCAGAGACTCACGTATTTCTCCTCGAAGCGTCGCGCAATCTCCTTGACATTGTCATCGCTGTCCCCGAACGGATCGTCGGGCGGGTGCACGCCGTTCGCCTTGACCTTGTGACGCACATGCTTCTCCTGTCGCGCGAGAACGGGGGTAGGTACCGGTGATATTTAGAACAGGCAGCGGTCGCCCGGAGATGACTTCAGCACGAGGGAAGTCGTCCACCCGACATCCAGATCATAACTGATACACTGGAGGTGAATTGTGCACCGAACAGACAATCGTTGGCAGGCACTGTTGGGCGTTAAAACATGACACTGAAGATAAAAACACCAACAAACTGATACCGATAGGGGGTGGAAAATAACGAGAGCATTTCATTGAACTAAGAAGGCTTACCAAGGCAGTGAGAATAAACAAAAAAAAACTATTCGGAGACCGTGTGGGAATTCCGATCAGTGAACAATGAACAAGGCATTATTAGCGAAATCCTACTAATTACATCGGCATTTAATCACCGACATTGGTTCATAAACCAACTCCCAAGAGATAGTAATGAATGACCCTGTAGAAAAAAAGTCACTTATGGTAGCAATTGAGACGGGCGGGCGCCCCACAGTCCACACTGCACACCGACGAACGAGGTCATATTACAATAATTAATGTAGATTGCAGGAATGAGGAACTAGACAATTGAATTAATGTTGTTATTTATGTGATAAACGGTGCACATGAAGTGTGTTGGCGGAGGTACAGCGAATAGGGAACAAGTTTGTGATCGTAGAATCCGTTCGAGAAATCTTTCAATTGGCTGAGAAGTGGTTAGATTGGCATGGAAATAAAATGCTGTTTTTAACATGAAATCCATTATCCAATTTTTACACCCACAAAAAGTCCACGCCGGTTTTCAGTCAGCACCCCCCCCCCCCCCCCCCCCGCAGAATATCATCCGAAACCCCAGAAAGATGAGCGACGTTTGGATTCGTTCAGTAAGCACAAGTCATCTGTACTGAGCTACGACAGACACGTGTCGTTACGATGCACACTGGCACACCTGTCACCACCCTCCCTTCCTTCCCTGCCCTGCCCTCCGCCCGTCCCCCTCTAGCGCACACCTCCGGGCGCCGGCCGCCAGCCCGCTACGGCCGCCGATCAGCTGACCGGCCTTCCCCTCCCACCCCTCCCCGCCGCCGCCGCCGCCAGACCCATGACGTCACCCGCCAGTTCCCACTGAGCGGCGTACCCCCCCCCCCCCTCCGGCCGGCCGACGGCTCCGGTCACGGAGGGGGGTACCTTTGTCCCTCTACGCCCGCCCGCCATCCGACCGCGCGCGGCGCGCCGCACACGATCGTACCGGCGGCGGCTCCCACGACCGCCGGCGGGCGTGCCACGCTCCGCCCCCGCCGCCGAGGCCCCGCCCCCGCCGCGTGGCAGCTCTCCCATGACCGGGTCGGTACGATCGATAATGGCCCTGCACCCGGCGACCCGGTCCGAGCGAGCGGCACCCTCCGCTGACCCAGCCCGTCCGCCGTCCGTCACTCGCCGCCACCACCGATCACACCCGGCGGCACCGCCCCGGCCGGTCACGTGACCTGCACACGGCGACACCCGCCAGCGCGCCGGCGGCCGAGCGCGCCAGGTTTTACCGCCACCCGGTCACTTCTCTCCCGCCGAGCGACGTCCGGTGGCGGCCCGCCGGCTCTGAGCTCGGTCCCACTCGGTTCAACAGCACCACACCGTTCCTGGGAGCTGCACACCGCGCGGCCACAGAGAAAGTCGGCTTGATCGTCTGTCTGACCATCCCAGACCGGTGACGGTGACGGTCAGACGGCAGTACCGGTCGGCCCCCAGGCGGGAACAGAGGGACAGGCGACGGTGTCCGGCGGGCCACCGCGGCTGCGGGATCGATCACAGATGGGAGCTGGGTCTGATTGGAAATACTGACAGCCAGAAAAGCACCGAGTGGGTGGGTTCAGGACAGGTCAGGTCAACTCAGTAATGTTAATTAAGTGTTTGTCCTAGACGACCAAACATAAAGGCTCATAGTATGGCTAAAATTAAACAAGTCCTGAATTCATTAATTATATATGAAAAGCATGAACAATGAATTTCTTCTAGTAGGGTAAGCATTAAAAATGAGGCATTGTGATTGACATAAGGTTCAGTGCTTTCCAAATTGCAGAGATTCTATAGGTAGTATTTAAGCAGCCAGTGGCAGCACCAGGTGAAGCCTCACAATATGAGGTGCATGGTTTAATAAAATATAGATACTGCTGCAATAGAAAGGCAGGTTAGCATTGCAATTTAAATTGTCAACATGACAAAACAGAGCCCATCCATTACAACCCAATTTGGCCCACATTCCACAGTATGCCCACTGCTCTCCCACTCCACAACCAAGTGAAAAACATGGCTGCTCTGGCTGCCATGGAGCAGGGACACAGGATCACCATAGATATACCAGAAACCATGTAGCAATAGAGGAAAAATAAACCCAACACCAAGCAACATTGCACTGTGGCACCATAGCACACATCATTGGACGCAGAAAACTTTTCGCGCCACACTGACCTTTTCTTTGGATACTAGATCCAAGTAGCTAAACTCCGAGTAAGTTTCCTTGGTGGTTTCCTGAAGGGTAAGCTCAAACCGTAAACTTCTGGCAGGTTTCTTGCTCTTCTGTTCACTACCAGCTGACTTTGGAGCACTGAGAAGTACCGCAGTTTTTGGCTCTGCCATGTTCTTTCATCACTGCCGGACACATCTATCCTTCGACTTACGGCAGCAACGAAGTTTTTCGGCGTAGAGGCTCTAAATCTCACACAATCGTCCACAACACCAGCACTCTCCCCATACACGACTCACATTCTCGCCATGTTTACAAATCACCTGGTACCCCTATGCGCATGCGCGACGGTTACCATGGTTTCACTACGGTTAATATAAGTTTACAATAAAAGAGTAAAATTGAAGGACTATTTTTTCCATAAGCAGTCGATTAAAAGAAAAGCTTACGTGATAATTGATGCTAAATATTGCTAACGATCAATGTTCCTTTGCAAAACATCGAATGTCCCAAAAGTTTCATCAAGTAACAAAAAGATGGATAGTGCTGGTTTGGATATTAAATGGAGTCTAAAAGAGGAAAACAATTGTCAATACCTACTGGAAATTTAAAACCAATTTTGACCAACAACTAAATTTTTCCGAATAAAAATGCATAATATTAGGAAAATAGCACATTTGTAGAACAAAATGCAGTTCGACTCTAAATTTAGCACTACCAAACATACAGCTCTTAACCTTCCTTTTCCGGTCGTGAGAGGTGAGTGGATGTGGTTAGGGTCTTCGTCCTATTGCTGATTTCTCAAATCGCTTGGAAATGTGCTTGTTCGTCAGTGGGCGGCTCTGATTGGCCATGTACGTGTGTTCCACTTAATTCCTGTAGTAGTTTCATTTAGAATTGCCCATGCTAAAAGAGCAGCGCGTCGTGTTTGTCTGTAAGTGCACGTTTTGATGTAGTTTCCATGTAACGATAAAGAAACTAGCGCTAGGGAGCCCTGCGCATGTGGAAGTGCAAGGAGGTACCTACTTTCGACTGACTTGTGTATGGCATTCCACTGACTGGTCGGGATCAGTGTGTTATTTTGGAGCTGAAATATCGCACTGGGGCCCTCTTACAGCCTTTGCCGGCGCTGCGCGCGCTGCTATCACATGTCAAATTTGTCTTCCATGGAGACATCAACAAAGTTGTTTATCCAACACTACCACACTGACCCCATACATTTACAAAATGTGATAGCAGTGTGGTACCAGTGTCCAGTGAAACACTGCCCTGTTGTTGAGACGTGGAAGTGGCATGCTACATTAGTTGAGTTTATGAATTAAGGGATAGGGCTATGTATGGATGAATGTGTTAATGCATGCATCAACATCACAAGCCTTCCACTTACAGCTTGGTGATACCTACTGGCTCATGCTGCTTCTTGGCTGCTTGAGTCATGAGTGCTTGCCATAAATAATGCTCTGTCATAATAAATAAATAATCAAACCTCTGCCTGCCATAATACCATACCTCTGCCATAAATAATAAGGTATATGTCAAGTTTAGGTCCTAACTACAGTTGTGACGCTGTTGATACAAATATGTAACAGCAAACATTTTAGGTTTTAGGTTAGGTTGTAGGTAGGTAGGTTTTAGGTTGGTAGGTACTTATAGGTAAGTAGGTAAGGTTAGGTCAGGTTTGAATGATTTTCTTTTATTTGCGAGACATACAAGTATCATTTTTGGATTCAGGATGTCAAATAATTTAGAAAATATGAAAAATATATCAATGAAATCTGCTTAGGACTTTATCTTGACATTTACCAAGTAATAATAGATAAAAGTGTATTTGGGCTGGGTCTGGCAGGTCATACTGATAATTTCACATTGAACAATGGACTAATGATAATTTCCCAAAACAACAGACTGGCTGGCTAGCTGTGCTTGCTTTGCCTATATCCTGGATAATATACTACCAAAACTTATTATTCCATGTAATTTTGCATTGAAAAAGGCTCCTCAATGGGGGTCAAAATATTTGCCATCATTTAAATAAAAAATACATTTACTCTTGAGACTCTGAAAAGTATACCATTAACTTATCAACCTGAGTAAAAGGTAAAATGACTTTAAAGTCCCACTTAATATACTACCAGTTATCAGAATATGCTAAGTTTCTATATAGGTTGATGCCTATATTTTTGGGATGAACTATTGACTTAACAGTAGCCTCTGTGTTAGTGTCTAGTAACCTACTTTTCTGATGATCTGCGTAATTTTGATTGTTCTAGTTTGATGTACACCTAAGGCTGAAGATACAGTGACTGGCTGTTGCTCCACCAGTGCTGCCGTGCAAAGGAAAAAAAGGGTGAGGTGATTTTAATACATTTTTTTATATTTATATCAAATGAAAGCTCTTTTCGAGGCGAATTCAATGGTGTAGTTCATAAGCATTATTGAATAAAAATTCATGCCGAAAATCTAAATTTGAAAGTTGGCATTAAGCCGTGAGTTGGAATGCCACACAAAATTGGGTTTTGGTCGTGTGGAAAAAAGCCGTGAAATCTCACCCTTTTTTTCCATGATCTTGAGTGCTGGCGATGCAATGGAAAAAAAGGGTGAGATAAAGCGTGCTCCGGGACTGAGAGTGCCTGTGGTGAAGAGTATTTGGCGAGTTTTAATTGACTGACAGTTTTTAAGGGCATATTTGGATATTCAGACAATGAAATAGCACTACAGTTTGTGAGCACGATTGCACAAGCATTTTTCATAATGTTAGGTCGCAAAAGCTTACTGACAATTAGCCCGCCAATTTAAAAACCCACCAAATCCTCCTTACACATCGCCGTACTACGCGTAGTAAACAGCACGCGCGGGCGGCTGGCAGACGTCTGGCGCGCTAATCAAACGTAAAGCGAAGCAATTCTCCCCGAGTTGGTGCCTTTATCCCTGCCTTTTTACAAATATGGGTAAAAAACGCAAATCAATCTCATCCGCTGAGTGTGATAAAAAACGCAAGAAGATTTCGGAAGCGCCGACTGGCTCCGATTTCATCCGAAGGAGAGGAGTCGTACACGTTCGAGTGATTTGGGAAGATAAGACCGCTGGTGAGTCACATTACTCGCCATTGAATGCACTGAAGTGTGAGGAAGAAATCGCTGTTGGGTCGCGGGTGCGAATGAGGCACGGAGGCCGGGAGTGGTTTGGAGCGGTGGCCAAGAGCTCCAAGACTCGCCAGAGCCTTGTGGAAGGTAAGGGACATTGACCCGATATGAAAGGCATGCCAACTCCTCAAATTTTAGCTGATATGGGTTACAGGAGTAGCCAATTCAATTGTGTAGAGCACCATGGAATGTATAAAAATAATGCAGAGCTGCAGCGCCTTTGAGAAGGTTACGTGTGAAAAAATGATATGTCGCTTATGCTATGCTAATGACAAAATGGCAATGCGTAGTGGTTCAGGAGACTGACAAAAAAAAAAATGTGTTCGGTGCAGAAATTCCGGATGATGATATGCCGCTGGCGATTGTACGTGAACGGCAAAGGTCATCTAATCCCGTGTCTGACAACCTCACCGATCTTGCCGGAAGCAGTTCGAGTTCCTGTCCCGTCCTTGATTCAGCAGCCCTGAGTCAGGTGAGAGAGCTAATTGTTCGTGACATTATCAACCTGTAACTTGTAAGCTGCATGAAGGCTCGCAGCAAAAGCGGTTAAAGATACTGATGTAAAATGGCATTGGAGATTTATCCATTAAAGCTTAATAAAGCGATAAATCGCATCAAATTTTGATTCTTATGCTGTTCATTACATCAACACAATCTACGAGTAATATTCCATTAAGTGTTTGGGCATATTTTTGGCAACTCAAGACACTACGGTAGAAAAATAATAGCAAATTAAGACCCGCTCCTTCAGTTGGTTATGGGAGTGTCGGATTTTTCGTTTCCTTCATAATGCTTGCAGATATTTCGTACAATCAATGATTTGACTTGTCATGGATATCGATTAAAAAATACTTTTTTTGTACAGGTGCTCTCCCCGGCGGGCAGCTGCGACCCGGCCGCGGAGCAGGGCGTGACCCCGTCCGGTGGCCAGGGGACCTCTGCCGCCGAGCAGGGGACCTCTGCTGGAGAGCGGGCCGTGGAGCAGGGCGTGACCCCGTCCGGTGGCCAGGGGACCTCTGCCGCGGAGCAGGGGACCTCTGCTGGAGAGCGGGCCGCGGAGCAGGGCGTGACCCCGTCCAGTGGCCAGGGGACCTCTGCCGCGGAGCACGGGACCTCTGCTGGAGAGCGGGCCGTGGAGCAGGGCGTGACCCCGTCCGGTGGCCAGGGGACCTCTGCCGCGGAGCAGGGGACCTCTGCTGGAGAGCGGGCCGCGGAGCAGGGCGTGACCCCGTCCGGTGGCCAGGGGACCTCTGCTGGAGAGCGGGCCGCGGAGCAGGGCGTGACCCCGTCCGGTGGCCAGGGGACCTCTGCCGCGGAGCACGGGACCTTTGCTGGGGAGCGGGCCGCGGAGCAGGGCGTGACCCCGTCCGGTGGCCAGGGGACCTCTGCCGCCGAGCAGGGGACCTCTGCTGGAGAGCGGGCCGCAGAGCAGGGCGTGACCCCGTCCGGTGGCCAGGGGACCTCTGCCGCGGAGCACGGGACCTTTGCTGGAGAGCGGGCCGCGGAGCAGGGCGTGACCCCGTCCGGTGGCCAGGGGACCTCTGCCGCGGAGCAGGGGACCTCTGCTGGAGAGCGGGCCGCGGAGCAGGGCGTGACCCCGTCCGGTGGCCAGGGGACCTCTGCCGCGGAGCAGGGGACCTTTGCTGGAGAGCGGGCCGCGGAGCAGGGCGTGACCCCGTCCGGTGGCCAGGGGACCTCTGCCGCGGAGCAGTGGACCCCGACCGCGGAGCAGGGGACTTTTGCAGTGGAGCAGGGCGAGACTCCAGCCGCGGAGCAGGGTACCTCAGCCGCGGAGCAGGGCGGGACCCCAGCCGCAGAGCAGGGGACCTTCGTCGGGGAGCAAGACCCCTGGGCTGTGTCGACAGAGGTCGCGACTCATGACGTGATTGGTCTGACTGACATAAATGACCTAGTTGATCCGGGACCTTTTGATTTCCTGCGACTCCTGGATACGTCCGGCAGTGACATGTCGTCATTCAACGATGTACCCCTCGCTGACCTATCGATTGCTTCCTCTGGTCCCTCTGGTACCGGCGCAGCAGGTGATAGTGACATGGCCCCTATGGCCCCGCCCCACCCACGTAGCGCCGCTCATGCGTCTAGCTGGGGAGGCTTTCCGACAGCACACACCGCAAATGTCGATCCAGACGACCCGAACCCACGGTCCATGGACTGCGGTGGAGATGGACTTGACGCTGCCTCGATTAGCACCCACGGGGCTTCTTCCTCAGTAGATGGGGCATCCGATGCTCCTCGTCCGACAACGGTGGGCAGTCACACGGGCGCAAAAAAACGAGCTCGTACTCAGGAACACCAAATTCTGGGCTTTAAACAGAAGCATGCAGTCCGTCCCATGCCTCCTGCCTGCAGCAATCGCACGTGCTCATTCGGTTGTGCCACTCACTTCAGTGAAGAACAACGCCAGGCCATCAACGAGGCCGTCAATTCACTTTCAAGGGAGGCTAGGATGCAGTGGTACGCCACTCACGTGCGAGACATTACTCCCATTGTCACTGACAGCCCACCACTCACCAACACCGCATCTGCCAAGCGGCGCATCATCGCCTACCGTCTCCCTGTAGCTGGAGAACAGGTCGATCGAAGGGTGTGCAAGGAGTTCTGTCTCACAACCCTCGGCTTCGCAGCGAACAATGACGGTCCGATCATATCTGCCGTGGGACGACTCATCCCAAAGCAGGACAGGCGGGGGCGCGCGGCAAACCCGGTGGCAGCCAGACTCGAGGACGAGCTGCAGCGGCACATTGAGCGGTACCGTCCGATGGCACCGCACTACCGCTACCTGCACGCCCCCAGACGCCGATATCTCGCACCGGACCTCAACGCAGCTGTGATGTACCAGCAGCTTGTGGAGGAAAAGGGCAAGATCTGCTCTTACGAGCGGTTTCGCAAAGCGCTGCGAAGTGCCAACGTGTCGTTCGCTCGCTTAGGCCAAGAAGAGTGCGAGATATGTACTGCATTTGACCACCACGTGAAAACTTGCTTTGAACATGAGTCGTGCAGCACGTGCCAGGAACACGCCGCCCACCACGATCGCGCCGAACAGGCTAGGGCAGAGTACGCCCGAGACCGCGAAACCACAGCGTCAGCAGAGTCGCACCTGATTGTTTCCGTGGACATGATGAGGGTCGCTCTCCTTCCCATCCTCCCTCACAAAGTGTGCGTATTCACCCCGCGACTTGTAACTTACAACGAGACTTTCGCGCCGTTGGGAGGAAAGGGGGCTGTGTCCGTCTTGTGGCACGAGGGCGTGTCTGGCCGAGATGCACCAGACGTCGCTTCAACATTCATAAAGTTCGTGGAGCTGAACCACAACACGAAACAGTTCACCTTCTGGGCAGATAACTGCTCTGCCCAAAACAAAAACTGGACCTTGCTCTCGGCTCTTCAAAATTGTGTCAACAGGAGCGATCTTGCAGTCAAAACCATCACAGTCAAGTTTTTAGAGAAGGGACATACTAGTATGTCTGCTGATGCGGTGCACCAGGTGGTGAGCAAAAAACTTTCAAAATCTAGTGTGCGTGTGCAAGACTTTCGGGACTACGTTGTGGCATGTGAGATGGCGGGCTCAGTGCATGTGATGGCGCCGGGAGATTTTTTCGATGTCAGCAGTGGGGTGAGCGCTACGAAGCTGAAGCGTCTCGCTGATGAGGAGAAGCGACCGCTCCTGCGGGAAATAAAGGTCGTTCAGGTGCGGCGGGACGACGACCGACTGTACGTGAAGGTTGTCCATGGGCACCCAAAGTGGTCGGCTTACGACCTTTTCAAAACAACTTTTATTCCATGTGAGCAGCCAGAGAGGCGAACGACTCCCAGGGGGGTTAACAAGGAAAAGTTGGCCAAAATCATCAACAACCTAACACCTCTTATGGATGGTCATAAGACCGCCTTCTGGCTATCCCTCAACGGGACAAACGTCCGTGACCTGATGGGATAGGCTGCTGCCTAGCCGTCAATAACACGAAAGATGGCTGAGCTGACCAGTGAAATGTTTGAAGTGGTGTTCAGTTTGTAGTCGTATCGACTGTTTTGATGTTTTATAGCCGTCAATACTACGGAAAATGGCTGAAATGTTTGAATGTTTGTATTCGTGTCGACTGTTTGTATCGACTGTTTTCATGTTTGTAGCCGTCAATACTACGGAAAATGGCTGAAATGTTTGAATGTTTGTAGGTATTCGTGTCGACTGTTTGTATCGACTGTTTTGATGTTTTATAGCCGTCAATACTACGGAAAATGGCTGAAATGTTTGAATGTTTGTATTCGTGTCGACTGTTTGATGTTTTAGCAGGATTCCGTAATACAGGAATGACGAACTATTTTGTTTAATTCTGTATAAGGTTTAATGTGGTTAATGTTTAAGACATGTAATAGGTAGGTAATTACGGACTATCAGCTATGATAAAATGGCATTTTCCCAAACCTAGGATGCAATATGCAGCCATCTAGGCATGCAGACTAATTGCGTATTATTCGTCGGACGAATATGATGTCTACCACGTCCGCGTCCTACCAGTATCAACTTAATGAGACCAACCGCCCGCCCTTAAGCTAGGTCAAACACTAGTTAAACCCAGACATTCATTCATTCATTCATTCATTTACGCGTCTACCCTTTTCTTCCACACCGCCAAATGTTTAATAGTTCGTGGCAAAAAGCCGTGAAATCGCTTGATCACCTGACGGCTTTTTTCCACACCGCTTGTTGGAAATTTCGCAAGCCAGTTACAAAGGAAAAAAAAGATAGGCATTTTAAGCTTATCTAAGAAAACATTACACGATTATATTAGTATCAGAAGAAACATTGAAACATGACGTTTTGTTTGGTACCAAAATCGTCATTCTGACGTGTGGCACTTTAAAGTTATAACTCATTTTTGGTCGCGACAACCTTTTGGTCCCTCCTGTGAAATCAATTTTTGGCCAGACAGGATCTCACCCTTTTTTTCCTTTGCACGGCAGTGTGACATTAGCGTTCATTATGTTGGTGTAGCATAAATTTTTATTATAAATGGTCACATTTTCTATTGGCAATTACTTAAAGGGACCCTCCCACCTTCAAAAAAGTTAATGAATTGGCATGAAAGTGATGTCGCTCGGTTCAGAAAGAGCAAAAACGCATATCTACCAAATTTCATCGAAAAATATTCACCGGTTTTCAAGATATTAGACTTATACTTTTGTTTACTTTTTGGGATCTCCGCTGTTCCTAGCGACTTTATTTGAAAGTGCGGCATTTGTTGCGCGCAAAGCAGCATATACCACCGCGTGCTACAAAACGTTTTAGTCAAACATTTAACGGACGTTCGAAAGCCTGATGACGTCATCAGATTCCCGTAATGGTTAAGAGATAGGGACCACGCTGGTCCCACCCTGCAAGTAAAGGGAAGAAATTTCTTGAACACCATAAAGCTGCGGGGGTTGCGACCAGGATAAATGGTGGTTTCTGAGCCTGGCCGCAAACTTGGCTATCTCAACTCAAAACTAATGTTAAGGTGGGAGGGTCCCTTTAATGGGCAGGGTAGGATGATTTTTGATGTCAAACAAATATTGAACTTTGTAATGAGGTCGCGGGTTGGTTGACCACAGGCGCAGCTGGATGGCTATGTATGATACCTACTGTCCCACTGTTGAATGGGATGACTGTGATGTCAAATTTTTATCTTTGGGTGAGATGTTGGGCTCTAATTTTTTCAGGTAAAATTTATTTTCTTAAGCTCAGACATTATCTTATCAAACCTAACCTTCCCTTATCTTAAGTCTCTACCAAACCTGCTCTTCACCTGTCTTACATATATTCATTCAAACCTTACCTATTACTTAATTTGTTGGGTGAAAAGGACTTGGGGGTCGGGTTGGATTTCATTTGGTTATGTTTCAGCTACCTTGGCATCTCGCCAGTTTTCATTTGGCATCATAAACCATCATTCTGCCGCGATAAGGGCATTCAGCGGTGATCTCATTGAGCTTAAAATAAGGGACATACGTTTGTTCCTCTCCAACGTGATATATGGACATTGACTACCAGAAACAAAAATATTGAAACTTCTGATGTTGCCTGTAACTTCTATCTGTTGCATGGTGATGACATTTAAATTAGCCATATCTAATCATTTTACTAAAACTAATTGTGCAATTCACAGAACTCTCAGGATTTGCACTTGTTTTGTAATGCATAACAACATGTTCAATATTGTCTTGTTACAGACCAAATAGGCCAAGATGGGAGCCTACAAGTACATGCAGGAGTTATGGCGCAAGAAGCAGAGTGATGTGATGCGTTACCTGCTGCGCGTGCGGATGTGGCAGTACCGCCAGCTGAACAAGATCCACCGCTGCGTCCGGCCCACCCGCCCTGAGAAGGCGCGGCGTCTCGGCTACCGGGCCAAGCAGGGTATGAGCACTGTGCTGTCAATGTTGGGTGTATTTGCATGTTGCTAACTCTGATACCTAGTAATATTATGGCCAATTGTTGAAGCTAGATTTTAGTAATGTGTAAGTTGGTGGAACTGGAGGATGCTGCCAGCTACTTCCATTATGCTATTGAGAATGTTTCTTCACACTCAAAGGATAATATGCATTCTTTCTCTGTGTAAGGACCGCATTTTATTCATAGTGTTGTCTTAAGGAGAGAAAGTACAGCAACTGACGGCTTACCAACCTGGCTCATGTTGCATATTGGGCCGGGGTGGAGCTTGGACCACATTTGTATTTTGCACCCTACTGCCTTCATGTAGCCATCAATTGTTAATTTGCCTAGTCTGTTGTCCATATTTATTCATCTTCAAAATGAAAGATGAAGTGCCAAGTTTGACGGTCGTTTTTCCGTTCCCAGGATACGCCATCTACCGCGTTCGCCTGCGCCGCGGAGGCCGCAAACGCCCGGTGCACAAGGGCGCCACCTACGGCAAGCCGGTGCGCCAGGGAGTGAATGAGCTGAAGCTCAACATGAACCACCAGTCGGTGGCCGAGGGTCGCGTCGGCAAGAAGTGCAACGCGCTGCGTGTGCTCAACTCTTACTGGGTTGGCCAGGACGCCACCTATAAGTACTTCGAGGTGATTCTCGTCGATCCCGCGCATAAGGTGAGCATAGGGTATGATTGGTGGTTGAAGGGGTGGAATGTTTGATTCGTGGATGGGAGAGCTGAGGGAGGGCGATCGCGATGATGCTGATAGGATTTTTATCGGGGTCCGCGGCAGTGGTGCCGATTTTTTGATGTCTTTATCGTTGGTACGATATTTCTTGTTCATGGGCGCGTTTCTTCCATATATAGGACGCATTTAGCGGTGCCGACCAAGTTCGATTAAAGGTAGTGTGCCACCTTTGAAAGATTTCCCATTTTATTTTTCCTAGGATAAGAAGCTTCTGTTTTTACCTAATATCGCAAAAAAAAAATCAAAAATGGGCCTGGAATAGTGCCTTTTTCGCCTAAAAGTTTTTCGGTTTTTAGATATGTATAACAACTGTAGTGGGCTCACCTGCAAACAGGCGTCGGGCAACAATCGCGAATGCGGCGCACTTGTGACAATAAGCAAAGGTCATTATAGTGTTACGACCATACGACGTACGGGAATGAGTTATCAGCTGTCTAATCGTAGACAACACAATGTCGAGCCTTAAACTGTAAGCCCGTATTGGTATTGTTTCTTTTATTTGGCTGTCAAACATTATTTATGGTTTGAAATATGATTTTATGTAAAATAATTGATATGAAAAAGCCGTCTTATAAGTTATGACCCCATTTCACAACACGCAAGTGGCAGAAATGACAATGATCAGCTGACGCATTTTTCTTGGCCGAAGTCAGAGCGCGCGGCCCGACGCACCACGCGTATTTGGAAATTCCGACCTCGACGAGCATCAGAAGCCACCTAACAGGCGTGTTCGAAACCGCAGGAGATGATGATGAACGGGTTTATCGAAACTTGATTGGATGAGCATATCGGTAATAGCGATTTCAGTGTGTGCATTTCTTGTTCATAGTGGTGTGAAATGTGGTTGGGGTACGACCGACAACCCGTCGGGGCGAATTTCGCACTGGGGTACTCAAAATTTGAAGAATTTAAGACGTTTCCATGAGTTTTGAAGGTATGGATAAGTTCTAAAAATCCGGTTCTCCTTATCTGGGCCATTATCTCCATACGGTCCAAGAAAGCTGGCACACTACCTTTAAATGTCGTTATTTTTGTTTTGGAACGGGACGTCATAGAACCTTATTTCTTTCTCAGTGTAAGGACCACATTTTATCTATAGTGTTGTCCTAAGGAGAGAAAGTACAGCAACTGACGGCTTACCAACCTGGTCCATGTTGCATATTGGGCCGGGGTGGAGCTTAGACCACATTCGTTTCCTGGACTCATCCTTAACGCTGTCATTGCCAACTTCCGAGAAGTTGTCTTTTCAGCAGATGGGAGATACGAATCGTTCCTGCTAAGGTTGACGTGATTGCGGTAGGATTTGGTCTCCTGGCTGTTCCTCTCCTGAGCTTTTTTCAATGATCCAAACCTACTTCTTGTTGAGAAGCCAGAATGTTCGATGTTTGCATCACTACTATTTCACGTCCTTCGCCGAGTCGCCATAACGCATGACCATATATATCCCCGCCCGCCGCTCTCTCCCACCTCGACCCGACTACTGACGCCCGTCTCTCCTCTACAGGCCATCCGCCACGACGCTAAGATCAACTGGATCTGTAACGCCGTGCACAAGCACCGCGAACTGCGCGGCAAGACCTCGGCCGGCCGTAAGCACCGCGGCATCGGCCACGGACGCAAGTTCAACAACACCAAGGGTGGCTCGCGACGGGCCAACTGGCTGCGACGGAACACGCTCTCGCTGCGCCGCAAACGTTAAATTGCCCTATTGCCGTCCGCCTAATGTTGCCACTGTCGCGGCCGCGGGTCTTCGTGACAAAAATACACGCTGCTCAGAGCCGGGAGCGCCTTGTTTTGTGGGATAGAGGGGTGAGGCACTGAGGTTACGAGAGTTTAGGAGTCAGAGAGGGTGACGAAAATGAGGGGCAAGGGAGGGACAGGGGGCTTGGCTGCAGCTGGTGGTTTTGCCAGTGAATCTGGTTCGGAGGTAGTACGAACGCCGATTTCATGCGAAATTGACTGGGCTATCAGGGTGTCCAAATGGAAATCGCTGTCATTAGTACGCTCTGTCTGTACAAACTATTTGTCGTTGATACTCGGTGCTCAAATATTCGTAACAGCTGTATGTAACGACGATATCGTTCGCGCTCACTTGGAACGCATTGCCCCCTACGTAGCTCCGCGAAAGCTAACGTGGCTAACGCAAGAGTGGCGCCACCTGTTTGACCAGTCTAGGGTACAAAGCTCTGGTTTACGTCCTCGCCGCTAGTCATTTGATGGATAAACTCAACTGACGTGAACCAGTGAAGCTTAGCTCCAGTCAGCTTTTGCTCAAGTATGATTGCACTTGTATCATGCTTTGCTCAAGTATTAAAAACCTATTCTGATTCCTTGTCCTTGCACCTTCGCAGACTCAGACGCCCATTTGGTGCACCATAAGCCAAAGTCTCTTGGCAGACGCCGTGCTTGATTAGTTATCGTGTTTGTATGCTCTTGTCACTGCCAATCGGGAAGTTTGCTGTCGCTATTTTTACCATGCACGTCCTGTGGTATCTTCATTGGTCCAGCGACCACCGGTCATGAGTTCGTGAGATAGATAACTACTGGTCAGCAGGCCGCCGAATTCTGGCTCGGCTGGTGGCTGGGGATGGGATGAATAGAACCCAGCCCTCAGCTGAAGATCAGAAGCTGAAACAAATGCCTGAAGTATAGTTTTATCATGACATTATACACACCTGGCTGGCTGGGTTAGTATTTGGCTGGCTAGAACCTAACCTAACCTACCTGGCATGACGTGGCTGTCTGTGTATGCCTGATGTCTCATATGCAGTGTGCTGTTATCAGTCGTCAATTTTTTTTAGTGGGAGGGAGAAGTCCCATGTAACTTGTCTCACTGATGATTAAGTGCGGTCCTGGTATCGTTCGCAAGGCTCATCAGAATCTCGCTGTTAATAATTGATCCTACATGTATGTATCGAGCAAACGGTCTGGATCATTTATACTCTCGTTGCCACAACACTGCATTACTGCTCACAGATCGATGAGGGCCACGCTGTCGAAATCGCACCTCTATGCTGCATATCATGTGACAGGCAATGCATACCTGCCATCCGATCATGAGTTCTCGGGTTAATGCTAGTGCACCGTTACTGTCGAAATGCATAGATGTGCTTATAAATCGCAGACTGCTCTACTCAGTTCCCCAGTCATGTGTTTAGGCTTACCCCTCCAATGTCTGTCTCAACATGATTCAGTGTCATCAGGACGCCGCTCCGTTACTCAGAAATAGGTACGTCATGGCGGCATTTGGATGATGTCATGCGGTCGCTCGACTGGAAATGGGGAAGATCTGTGACCGCTCTGCGTGTCATATAATTTGTATACACCGGTGACTTTTTTCGCAAGAACGATGCCAGAGCTGAAAGGTGAGTATCGGGCTGATGGGTTGGGACTTATGAAGCATCGTATGTGACGCATGGACTACTCGTTCGTATGTGACCCTAACTGTGGATTGGGAACTCTGTCACGTGGGAAATGGTTTGGTGTTTTAGTTTACAGAGACGAAAGTTTTACGTTTTTACAGCTGTTTTGTTTACAGGTGTTCAGCCGGAGTAGTGCTGACTGCTGGTGTGTGGAAGGAAGATAAACCTGGTGTGTGGAAGGAAGATAAACAACCGAAGAAGCCGCTACTTTGCTTGGAAGACGATAGCCATCAGTTGAAGCGTTCGTACTGCGACCTCGGTAAGTAAATGCATCGTGAAAAGTCGTGTTGTTTCACGTGAGCCTCTCTCTCTCTCTCTCTCTCTCTCTCTCTCTCTCTCTCTCTCTCTCTCTCTCTCTCTCTCTCTCTCTCTCTCTCTCTCTCTCTCTCTCTCTCTCTCTCTCTCTCTCGCTGAGCTATGCCGAGCTGCATCGATTTTACCGGCGCCCGGCGGGTCGCGACAGGCCCGGCCGCCGTCGCCCGCCGCCGCCAAGGTCGCGCCATGCACCCACCGGTCACCGGCCCCGCCGCGCGGTGCCTGTCTGTTCAGGCGGCAGCGTCGGCGTCGGTCGAGACGGGCACGTCCTCGGCTCGCTCAGCGGTGCCGGGTGCGCTGTGACGAATCCCGGCCTAGCTGCCGTGCCGACGGGACCGACCGGCTGTGTGCCTGGAATCGCCCCTGCTCCGGCGGCGGCGCCGACACGCCCTTTCGAGCGGCCGGCTGGCAGCCACTCGCTCGGCCGCGGCGCCATGAGCAAGAGACGCCGCTGTCCGCCGGAGGAGCCCCAGTGCCGGTCCCGGTCTCGGTCTCGCTCCCGCTCACGGTCCCGGTCTGCCTCGCCGCTGGACTGCCGACAGCCTGGTAAATCCGCCGCCCCCGGCCCCCTGAGTGCGCCCTCTCGTCATGTGGTGCAACTCCGGCGGCCCGTGCCGCGTGGTCCGCCCGCCCCGTGACCGGCCGTGGTGTATGCTCAATGATAGCAGGTCCTGTAGAGAATGTCGTTATCAGTGGGCAGTATTGGGTGCGCCAGGGGGCGGCTGCTCGGAGTTGCACTGCACTGACGTTTGGACGTCCCGGTCTCTGAACGTGTCATGTCAGAGGACCGTAGTTTCTCCATCAGAGACCCCGCAGAAGGTGTGTGAGTGTGCATGTGTGCGTGTGTGTCTGTCGTCCTGTGTCCGCCCCTGCTCGGGTCCGATAGCGGAATGCGGGAGTGGGCGTGTCGAGATCGGTCGGGCGGGCTGTGTGGTCACACGGCTCATTGTGGTATAGGCTGGGGCTCAGTGGGCGGCAGACGGTAGACGCTCAGGTGAGTATATCGGTCCCTTGTCTTTTACTGTCTGATTGCTAGTCCAGGCAAATATGTCGACCTCCAGACTGACAACTGGGTACTGAATGTCCGACCTTGGTATGACTATCTCCCATAACGAGTAACGACGCCCTCCCCCTGATTGCCCCGCTCAGGTCGTGTCGCCGTATAAATTGTACCGTGTCGCTCTGTTCTGTTTATATTCGCAATCGCTGTGAGTTATACATTGCACAACGTGGTGGTCCCTGTGCGCTGGCGGTTGTCATGTGGATATTTCACCACCATAGTGCAAGCTGCCAGCGTTGGGCGCCCTGCTTATGCTAAGAGATCGCAAACTGATGTGCTTGGACAACATCATTATAAAAGTTTCTATTCCAGCCTACTTGTGAAAGGATATGTGAATCTTGGGACGTATAAGGCATCGTAATTATTTCTGAAGATAAAGTAGTCTGGAACTTTTATTGTGTTTGTAGTTGATACGATACTACATAAATATCTTTCATTTTTACAGCTGCCATTGTGATCGGTCCGACCAAAGTTCGCCGAGCTCCGTTTTAACTTTTACTGCCTCTACACTCTACAGCCCTGTGTCCCGCCGCTGCGGGCGGTCTGTGCGGCAGCGGCGCCGTCCGCAGCGTGGCCGCCGGGCCGTGACCGTCCATTTCAGGCCGGCGGGACTCCCCGGGCTGTCAGAACTGTCCTACCCCTCCCCCGGACCGAGCCGGGCTGGCGCTGTCACCGCTCCGTCGCTAATAGCCCCCACTGACGCGGCCGGCCGGAGCGCTGCGGTCCCTTGCAGCGGGCAACCAGAGGTCATGCTTCTGCCGGGGACAGACACCGGTTGGACTGGTATGAGGTGTGATCAAGTCCAGCATAGTCCGACAGACTGCAGACTGGGACGACGTTCAGACTGTCTCAGTGCGGGTACTGTCCCAGGCTCCAGAGTTCCAGGTCTGAAGCTGTGGATCCCGAGTCGGCGTCTTTTCCATGGCCAGGTCGTTCTGAATGCTAATCAGTGGCCTAACATTGAGTCCATGTCTGAGCAGGCTGCATGAAGTATTGACCCTGTCTGAGCCAGCCATGACGGTGCGAGTCTGGGCTATTCACGGAAACGCCTCCGGGCGGTAACATCATTACATTGCAGGTTCGGGGAACCCGTGAGCGGCGTCACAGGTGTCCTTGATAAGCATAAGGTCTGGTGGCTACATTACTCCTGTTGGTAACCATTTGCGCCTTGCGGCCAGATAATGTGTAGTTGCGCTGCCAATATTCCCCAAACTCTTTGAGGAGCAGCGGTGCTGGCTGCAGACAGCTTCGAGCTCCTTATCAGATGTCGAGATGTCCTCTCAGTGGGGTGCTGTCCGCGATAGACCTTGACGTCTCAGCTGCTGAGCTTTATCAAAAGGCTCTGACATCTGACATCCGGCGCTCGCCCCGTCGTCCGTGTGGTAGGAGCTTATGCTCACAACTCTCAGGCCGGTTGCCGTGCTGACTTGGTTATGATCTCATCCATCCGCCTCATCTATATTTATAGTCCACGCTCCTCGAAGTGCGCCGCTCGACGTTGAGCAATCCGGCCGCTCGTACGAGCCTCGACCACCACTGCAGCGCTGGCCGGCTTCCATCTCCGGCCGCGGCCTGTCCGCACGCTGCCGGGATGAGGTGATCCGCATACCTACCAAAACCGCCTGCAGTGCGTTGGGACTTCCCCAGCCTCCCAGAGCCGGAGCTGATTCACGGATTTGCCCAATGCCATCTCATCTGGCGGATGCCCGCCCTGGCCGGGCGGACGGCGCCGCCCCTCCGCGCGGTTGCGCCACCTCGTGTCCGTCGACAGAGGGCGGTCTGCCGGTCCGACGGCCGCCGTCCGAACAGCACAGTCGGGCGAGCCGCCGACTGGGCCGGCTGCGTACGGAAGTACGGGACGGACGGCAGCCGACTGTACGGACGGTGACGGGTCGGTCGGTGTACGGATCAGGTGAGCCCCGGGGACTGCCGAGCTGGCTGATCCGCGATCTTACTACGAGGGTGCCGTGAGGGCTGGGGTTGGAGCCAAGGCTGCTTTACCACTAGCGGTGTTGGGTTAGGACGAAACTCGGTTTCAGTGGTCTTTGTTTGGGTCGGTAACCCAGGTAACAATCGGCGTGCCTGGTTCTATCGGAACCCTAGATCTGACGCACATATCACAGGATGTGGAGTCGGTTCACCCTCGTTCGCACTGTGGTGCTATGCTATTCCGCCGTAGCTGTTGTGACGTGTCGTCCGATGACCTTGAAAGCACCCAGCAGCAGCCCGGCATGGCGCCGGGTGGGCCGCGCAGCCGGACCCCTGGCTGCTGAGCTGCAGACAGTGACAAACTATCGTCGGGTGACTGGCGAATGGCGAGTGGATCCAAGCACCCATCCACCCGCCTGAATGGCATGCATTATGATTAGATATACCTATCATATAATCCAAGAAAGTATGGAAGGTCAGTTGCCTGAACTCCAGCGCTTCGCAGTTCCCGGCTACTCTTCTTGGGTCAAGTTTGCGGCCGTCTGAGTCGCATCACGGTCCGTAAACCCTGAAATGGCCAGATCCAGACGGTTGGCCGTCGGGCTCAGATGTCCGTAGCGCCAGCCGTTCAATACTCACCGTCCCATGCGGAGCTGGTCCGATAGGCGGCCGGTCGGTCGTCTGTTTGGGCCTGTCGCTCTGACGTCATAGCTGACGTATACGACGGAAATTCCACCGCCGATATGGGGATGCTGGTGGAGAAAAAGTGGCTGAGTTTGCTCTAGGGTGACGTCATCAGGCACCAATAGCTCGGATCGCGAGTTGGTACTTGGTAGAAGCAGTTTCTGTGGAGCGGATCTCGATAACAGCCGTCTCCGGTTGATGCCAGCTCGAAGCAGCTGCACTGAAAACGCAATATTAATTGCAATATTTATGCAAACGAAACTCATCAATAGGGACAACCAAAGTGGGGTGTTTTACAACACCCGTAATGTAAAACGCCCCGTTTGCAGGGGTCTTGCAAAAGCTCATTCTTGCCGGAATGCAACATCCGAGTGCCTTGCATATTATTTTGTTCAATAATCTGAAGATAACACTTTAACAAAATACCCAAAGACGCATGGTGAAATAACCGGTTTAGCGGTGACACACCGTTTTTCCTTAATGGGGTCGTTTTGGACGGTTCTCCCCTCCCTATGTGTTCATTTGGTGTTTCTTTGAAAAGCATGCCAATGAAGGGTATTGACTGTATTCAGGGACTTCGCCCCCCCCCCCCCCCCAAAGTAGCACTCGCTCGGTGAACCTGCCATGGAGATCGCATTCATGCCACCATTATCGACCTGTGCCGACGTGCTCCCACCCATTCCCTTCACCTGACCCGCCGCCCCTCCCCTGGTCTGGTGACCCGCATCAATTAGGCACCACGGGGTTGTCACGTTTACCACACCCAACAGCGCGGCCCGACCCCACGGCCGGTGCTCCTAGCTGGCGTGTGGTCGTCCACAATCCATACAGGGGTGTATTGACGTGTCGTTAGCCTACACGGACGGTGGTGGCACCCGTCGGGCCCTCCGAGGCCACGTGGCGTTACCAGGACGGCGGGCAAACATTCACGGATTGGTACCGGTACGTACGGCCGGTGGCCCAGTCTAAGTGTTCGTTCTGGTCTGAGCCGACGGTAGACGGTGCCGGTGGGGTGAGGACAGTAAAGGACAGCAGACGGTTAATACTGCACGGAACACGGAACAGTGCACTGGTGCACTGCGAATGCTGAAATTGCTGTTCGATCAGGAGGAACAGGAATCGCAGATGGCATGTAAGACCCCATTGACTAGATGTTTTCCTGTGCTTGTCGACAGCTAACGTGTTGTGGCTGATCCTTTTACGGGTCATGAATTTAACTGCTCTCTTCAAATTCGTGCTTTATTGTGACGCACTGGTAACGTATGTCGTATTCGCTCGTCAATTTATGTTTCCCGTTCTCCACACTCGTGGTTCGTTATCGCCCAGTCGGCACCCGACCATCTGTCCAAGTACCCCCGTCGGCCCGCGGCCGTCTCTCACAGCTATCCCGTAACTCCTCACATGAATCGGCGGCTCCCTGCAGTTGGCCTCCCATCGGGCCGGCCGATGACTGGACTTGAAGACTGGCTGGGTGCCAGGGCTCGGCCAAACTGGGATGTTTGTCCTCTGGCCGGCCGGCCGGCGGGGCAGGTGATTCGTACCCAGACCCGGGAGCGGCAGACGGTGGCGGGGTGTATGCACGGTCACGTCTTCTGTGCCGTGTTTCAGACTCTGTGTAGTAAGGCGTTCGTGCCAGGGAGTGTGAGCAGTGTGGTCGCGGATCGGTGTGAGCCATTGTATATTGTGTCGCGGGGGCCCTTATGGCCTTGGACGACCTGCAGCTGCTGAACGAAGCAGCTGAAGGTAGGACAGCCGTGAGCGGTGAGTGTGGGGTGTATCCGACACCGGTAAGTACACCTCGTGTCTTTTGCTCCGCAGTGTCAGTCAACCCGTGAGCTAGGAGCTGGCGTTTGTCTACGATATGTTTTACCCCATTCGGCCAGCATCTCCGTACCTATTAAGTGTTAATGTCGTTTGTCTTATGCATCTGCCTGTCTGACCGCCCACCTCCCTCTCACAGCGATCAAGATGAGTAAGAAGGACAGTTCCAGTTCGTCGGACAGCCTGTTCCGCATCCCTCCGCACTACTATGTGCACGTGCTCGATCAGACGGCCAACGTCACCCGGGTCGAGGTCGGACCGCAGACCTTCATCAGGAAGGACAATGAACGGTAAGTGGGCGTTCGAGCGGCATCTCAGACAGAGACAGTCGGGAATTGGAGGGATTGAAGGGTGGGGTAGATATTCTCATGAGTATTCTACGAGCAGTATGTTCCGTAGCGACAATGATGCAAAAGTTGCTCATGAACGTCGGCTAGTTGAAGAGTGTATTTCCCAGTCTTTGTGTCCGCTGTGTGGGCGGGTCGGCCATATTGCCGGCTCGTCGGAGAGCCGGGGGGTCGCGCCGCGCTGGAGCCGGGACCGGGGATGGGACGCGCCATGTGGCCGCTCTCCGCCACACCCTGGATCGATACGGAGAGCGCCCGACATTTCGGCGGCGTGTCCAGGCCCGAGTTCACCCGTCCGACTGGGGATCGGACGCTGCGGCCGGGCGCCATCTGTATGGGAGATCGGGTACTAGTGCGGCTGGGAGCTGCCAAGCTCTCATGGTGTAGGTCAGGGCAGGATAGGTGGCGCAGCGGGCCGAGGAGCTCGGGCTTCAACTCCCTCGTTTTGCGGTCACTGTCAATAACGGTGACCGTAGAAGAGCTGTGCTTGTCTAATTCTATCGTATAGTTTCCCGTCTCGGTTTCAACCAAAATGTGATGATGTGCTCCTCAAACCCGCTAATGTTTCGAGACTTATTATTGGCCGTCTGTCCTGACCCTGTCCCGCTCCGTCTCCAGGGTCATCGTCGGCCCGAACGCCATGGTGGTGGTGCCGCCGCGCCACTACTGTGTCGTCGAGAACCCGGTGGTGCGCGGCGAGGACGGTCAGGTGGTGTGCGACGCCAGCGGCCAGGCGCGCCTGCTGCACGCCGACACGGAGGTGCGGCTGCACCAGGACCCATTCCCGCTGTACCCGGGCGAGAAGCTCAGCTCGGCCGTGCTGCCGCTGAAGGTGGTCCCGCCCAACAAGGCGCTCCACCTGCGCGCGCTGCGCGAGTTCAAGGAGGGGGAGGTGGTGCGCTCCGCCGGCGATGAGTGGCTGTTCGGGCCGGGCACCTACGTGCCGCGTCCGGAGGTCGAGGAGGTGGCCGATATCAAGGCCATCATCATCGGGCCGAACCAGGCGCTCCGACTGCGGGCACGACTCGAAACCACCGACTGGAAGGGCCAGAAGCGGGTGGCCGGCGAGGAATGGCTGGTGACCAGAGTCGGCGCCTACATGCCCGGCGTCTACGAGGAGGTGGCCAAGATGGTGAACGCTCACGTGCTGACGGAGAAGACGGCTCTTCTGGTGCGCGCCACTCGCACCTTCACCGACAGTCGCGGCGTGCGCAGGAAGAACGGCGAGGAGTGGCTGGTGCGCTTCGACGATATGGAAACGTTCATCCCAGACGTGTACGAGGAGGTGGTGGAGGAACGCGAGGTGACCACCCTCACCAGCCGGCAGTACTGCGTCATCTGCGACCCGGTCGGGCCGGACGGCAAGCCGCAGCTCGGCCAGCGTCGGCTGGTGCGCGGTGAGAAGTCGTTCTTCCTGCAGCCCGGTGAGACGCTGGAAGACGACGTCCGCGACAACTACATCCTCCAGGAGAACGAGGCGCTGGTGCTGCGCGCCGGCGAGGCGTTCACTGACAACACAGTGACGCCGCCGGTGACGCGCCGGCCCGGAGACCGCTGGATGGTCACCGGGCCCGTGGAGTTCGTGCCGCCCATCGAGGTGGAGGTGGTCGTCCAGCAGACGGCTATCCCGCTCGACCGCACCGAGGGTATCTACGTGCGCAACAACCGCACGGGCGAGGTGCGCGCCGTCTGTGGACAGACCTACATGCTCACCCAGGACGAGGAGCTGTGGGAGAAGGAGCTGCCCGCCAGCGTGGTGGAGCTGCTGCGTACCGACGCGCTGGCCGACCGCGGCGGCTACCGGGAGCTGAGACGGTCAGCGACCAACAAGAGCCATGACGAGTTGAGCGACCGCACCCGCGTCATCACCTACCGCGTGCCGCACAACGCAGCCGTTCAGGTCTACGACTACAAGGCGAAGCGGTCGCGCGTTGTGTTCGGCCCCGACCTGGTGATGCTGGAGCCGGACGAACAGTTCACGCAACTCTCCCTGTCCGGTGGCAAGCCCAAGAAGCCCAACACGATCCGGGCGCTGTCGCTGCTGCTCGGACCCGACTTCTGCACTGATATTGTCACTGTCGAGACGTCCGACCACGCGCGTCTCTCGCTGCAGATTGCCTACAACTGGCACTTTGATGTCGGCAACAAGACTGCCGAGGATGCGTGCAAGATCTTCAGCGTGCCTGACTTTGTGGGCGACGCGTGCAAGGCGATCGCGTCTCGTGTGCGCGGCGCCGTGGCGCAGCGACCATTCGATGACTTCCACAAGAACTCGGCCAAAATCATCCGGCAGTCTGTGTTCGGTCTGGACGACGCTGGCAAGGTGCGCAAACAGTTTGTGTTTCCGCAGAACAACCTTGTGGTCACCTCGATCGACATCCAGAGTGTGGAGCCGGTGGACCAGCGGACGCGCGACTCGCTCCAGAAGAGCGTCCAGCTGGCCATCGAGATCACCACCAACGCTCAGGAGGCGGCCGCCAAGCACGAGGCCGAGCGCACGGAACAGGAGGCGCGTGGCCGACTCGAGCGGCAGAAGATTAAGGACGAGGCGGCCGCGGAGCAGGCGCGTAAGGAGCTCGTCGAGCTGCAGACGGCGTGCGCGGCCATCGAGAGCACCGGTCAGGCCAAGGCCGAGGCGCAGAGCCGCGCCGAGGCGGCCCGCATCGAGGGAGAGGCGGCCGTGGAGCAGGCCGGCCTGAAGGCGCGCGCCGCCAACATCGAGGCCGAGTCGGAGCTGGAGCGGCTGCGCTCGGCGCGCGAGGCCGAGCTCAAGTACACCGAGGAGAGCAACCAGCTGGAGATCGCGCGTTCCAAGGAGATGGCCAACATCGAGATCGAGAAGTTCCAGCAGATGGTGTCGGCGATGGGCGCCGAGACGTTGAAGGCCATGGCCACTGCTGGCGGCGACCACCAGGTGCGCATGCTGCAGAGTCTGGGCCTGCAGTCCACGCTCATCACCGACGGACGCACTCCCATCAGCCTGCTGAACACCGCCCAGGGCCTGGTGGGACTGGGCCAGGCGGCCGGGACCGAGTCGGCCGTCCAGCGGCCGCGCTAGGCCGCAGAGCGCCGCGCGGCGCCACGCGACTAACTGCCCAGGTGGTCCGCCCGACTAACTGCCCAGGTGGTTGGATTCCTGGTCAGCCGAGATTTTGCACGGTCTCCTCTGTGATTTTGAATTGAAGACATCCCAGACTGGAAGAGAAGAGATGCCAGTACAAGACGCGTCTCGTACAATTTTTTGTTTTTGGAAGCGATTTTCCACTGTCTGACGCCTACAACCAGCGAAACCGTGAGCCGTGCCACCAGATTTTTGCCGGGACGAATTACGGTTTAATTTAATCTTCCAACCGCAGAGTCTAGTCTCGATGTATGAGAGTGGGTAGGTTACCTGTCCTGTGTTTTCCATAGTCACGGGTGACGGCTGGGCTCCTAGCCTCCTAACAGCACTCACAAGTTCCACTCCACTAGACCTGGCGAGTGCTGCAGGTAGTTTCGCGAGTGCGGCGTACGTTTAACCCGCGCCCCGTAGGGGGGGGGGGCCGAAACGGCCCCCCTGTCCTTTTCGGTCGATATCTCCTAAACGGCTGGAGATATCGCCACTAAACTTTCAGGACCCCTCCGGGCATCAATTTTACACATTGTGACCAAAAATTTTTCCAGAGGCTGTGGTAGGTTGGCCACAAATGACGTCAGAGTGACGTCATGTTCTGTCATTTTCGACCGAAAAAAGACCTTCGCGAGAAGACCTGTCAGGCCTACAGCTTTGAAGATACAGAAAAATGATCAAGACATAAAAGGTGTAGAATTGACAGGGCTACAAAACTGCTATCTCGGATTTTTGAAATTTTTGAGTTTTGATCCCCAAAAATCAAAAAAGCATTTTTTTGGATATATTAGCCAAAAAATCCAAAAAGTTTTTTGAGTTTCGGAAAAACCGGAATATATGTGATAGTACCTACCGTCTTCTATCTACATACCAAATTTCAGATCGATACCTCGTTTTTTGGCCAAGTTATAGCGAAAAAACTGTTCAAAAATGATGACGTCAAATTTTCAAACTCAATTTTTGGCAATTCTAGAAATCGTAGAGCAAAACAAAGACCACCATTAGACTCCCCGTGACGAGCTGCATCGAATGGATACCCATTTTATGCAAAAATATCAACTTTGAAATTTGACCTAATTTGACCTGACCTTGACCTGACCTTCACCAAAACGTGACCTAGGCTGGCCCCAAAGGCTGCCTAACCCACATAATCGCATTTATCATGTAAAATGGACCATAAAACATGTATCACACGACACATTCATATTGTGACCCCCGGTGACCTGACCTCGCTGTGACCTGACCTGGTATCAGTGACCTCAGATAGCAAAGTATGTGTTTGACGAACAATATACCATCGATGGTTTTCAACAAATTACCAATTTACTCGATTTCACAGCACATTTCTTGAATTGCCTGTGAACGGTGAAAATCTGACCTTTGACCTGACCTGTGACGTCATCGGTTTGACCTAGGTCAATGAAATTTGGTCACAAGGTAGTTCCCGGGTAGGGCTATCAAACGCCGTTTGAATTTTGAAAATCGGCCGGTAACTTTCCGAGATCTTAGGGGGGGGCCGAAACGGCCCCCCCCCCCCCCCTACGGGTGGTAGGGTCCGCCGGTAGCCCTACGGGGCGCGGGTTAAAAGACCGCAGCATTCATTTCAGAGTGCTGCTCGCCAGCTTTCGCCTGTAAGCACGGGTCCGTTCCAACGGTAGATGATGCCTGGTGACTGTCTGCCTCGCTCGAGCCCCCCAGCTCCCGACCCAGCCTAGGCTCCTGCCGGGGTTCGCTCGCGTCCATGTGTGCTCTTATCTACTGCCGCTTGCCTCGGAATAGGGTGCTAGGAATACGTGAGTCCCATGTAATCGTCACGTGATAGTTGGTTGCGCACTAGGGTGATTTGTCCGTGCCGTGCTGGTTGGTTCGCGTCCGCAGAGTTGGCTGTGGCTGAAGTGCGCTTCTGGCAGGGTGTGCTGCTTTGTAGGCGTACAGCTCGGCGCCTAATGCCATTATTGTAGTCTTTGTGTCCGCCTTGTGTACTTGTTGTCTTCTAAAGAACATAATACAATATAAAATAGTAAGGGAAATTTATAATGCTTGATGAAATGATCAGTACGCCAAGATGGCCTAGAAAACAGAATAGCATTCGGAAATAGAATCTCATTTCAGTTTTGTTTACTTATTCACTATTCTTACTCCTTAGAACAGCTAGCATGCACATAAAATCAAAACGAGGCTGTTTCTGCTCGTCAACCACACACGGTATCGTACATTGTCGAATGTCAGGCGTCTCCCGGGCGCTCCAATTTCTGTTTTTGGAATTCGACAACAGACATGCACTAATTCCACTGAAAACGATGCAGTACCGCCAAGCCTCAAATGTCGACCGCAGAGCTCAACCTGAATCGTTGGATAAAACATGCTACATAGGAGTCGTTTGACGGCTCGTTAGGCTCACCCGGGCAAACTGGTATAATATGTCCTGGACGGCGCATTTGCCTCTGAGGACAACATGGTGCATGTAACATAATGCCACTGTCGCCAGTGCCGAGCTGAGCCAGCCTGGGTGATATAACCGGTCGGTCACTGCCCTATTTAGAGTTCGACACATCATCAAACGCGAAGAGCTGCTCTCTGTCAGATACCTTACCTCTGGACCGTTTACAGCTGACTTCAGTCACAGTACTAACCCTAACATCGTACATAATAGTAGTACATATACCTAGAAGTGAGTTAGACTCAATCACTGTACCAGCTATCACTTGTCTTCAATGCCACGTCACGCTCCCATCGTATCTGTGATCACGACTTGACCTGTGTCCGTGTCACATGATCAGTGTCACGGTGTCACCTGCCCTGACCTGTACACGGTGTTTCCTGACCTTTGACCGTGTCACCTAACCTGACCTGTGTCACAGTGTGACCTGACACCGGTCGAAGGTGGCCACACAGTCGGCTCCGCGCCGTCCCTGCCTCATGGCCAGCAGATGGTCGGAGGGAGACGCCTCAGGCAGCAGCAGTGACAGCAGCAGGCCGCCCGTATACGTCAGCGCTGAGTGCAGTGCTGACTGCGAGCGGGCCTTCTGATTCAGCTCACACAGCAGACGGCGACCGCACTGCGAGCCCGCCTCCCTGCGGACAGAACGGTAACTAGTGGTTCATCGAATGACCGCTAGGTGGACAAATACGGTACCGCTTCTCGCTGCTAGAAATATACACAAATCGAGCTGTTTCAAGATAATTGCTGGCATGCTATGGTTAAAATTAAATCACCTCTCTATGGGCTCCCTTGACCCTCCCCTTCCCCGCCCCGGCACAAGATGCAACTACCGAAACCGTGCTCCTCTCGGTAAGCCCCTCGTCTCTCGCTGCCCTCACCCATCCCACTCACCCATGCATCCACACTGTGATCATGTTGAGGCCGATCTCCAGCAGACTGTTGATGTACTCGCCGATGATTCCCGGCCCGGGGAGCAGCACCTCCCGGCCTGCCGACGCTTCCTCATCTTCCAACTCCGCCAGGAGTCTGTCCCAGCGGTCCGGCGGTGTCGCCCATCGCAGCAGCTCGGGACCCAGCAGACGGCCCCAGAGACCGCCGGCGGACCGGCCGCCCCCGCCGCCCGCCAGAGCGTCGTTGATGGCGTCGAAAAGGAGGACTCCCAGCGCGAGCACCGCTAGCGTGACCAGCGAGTTACCGGCGCCAGTTATTCTGTGGGTCAGGTTTCAGTCTGTCAGCGAAGGAGCGCCGATCGCCGATCATCGTCTTGTGAAGTTCATCGAGCTATATTGGGCAAGGCCCTTGTAAAAAGCGACTATTCTGCTGGCAGGAGTTATAGTGAAAGCTATTTTTTTAGACAAATCACCCGCTACAAGACGTCATGACTTAACTAAGCATGTTCTACGGACAGTCTTAAGCAGGCGAGCTCAGGTTCAGCCTACCTACCTCATTTGCGAGTCCAGCCTCTGTGACAGCTTCTGTCGGACCAGCTGGATGCGAGCGCTGATGTCCTCCAGTCGCTCCGTCAGCTCGGAGCTGGGTGGTTCAGTGGGGAGCTGTCCAGGGGCCGTCTCACGGCCTCCCCCGCTGCCGGCGGGATTTGGACCGGGCTCTGGCCATGGCTCTGTCTGAGGATGGATCTCCGGGGGCTCCGTCTGAAGATGGGGCTCTGGGTGGTGTTCCGGCCACTCCTGGAGCTCTGAGTGTTCATTTGGAGGATCGGACTCCGACTGGAGCTCCAGGTCGACTCCTGGTCGGCGGTCTATCGGAGTTTCTGGTCGCTCTGTCTGATGCTCCGGGTGCTCCGTCTGAACGTGAAGCTCCGAGTGCTCCGAGTGCTCTGACCAGTGCTCCGTCTGAAGGCAGTGCTCCGGGTGCTTCGTTTGGTAATTTACCCCGGCGCTCGCCTCCGTGGGTACGGTGACCTCTGAAACCATTGTGGTCCTCTCTACCTGACCCTCCACGCCTGGCTCAACAGTGCTCGGCGGTTGGCCGGTGGTGACAGAGACAGGCGGCCTCCAGACTGGCCAGGCCGTGTGGGAGCGAAGGAGACTGGTCACAACCTGAACCTCTCCGGGAGAATGCAGGCTGCTCGAACCAGGCTTAGAAGGGCTAGATGTTGTTACCGGGCTAGATCTGGTAGAAGTTGGGTCCTCCGGTCGGAATTTGCTGATTCTGCTGATTCGGAGTGGAGCTCTTCTGAGCCGCACCAGCCGTTGAACGTCACCACTTTGAGCACTGACCGTCCCGGCCTCAGCCAGCAGTCCTCCCAGCACTGCTGCCATCAGCAGCACACGAGTCAGCTCCGACATCGACATGATGTTCACTGGCACTGACGCGGTGTGACGCCGAGCGCCGCTCTACCGACCAGTGCAGCGGCAGGCACGACCGCACGGTGATCTACCTAATCGGGTCTGACCGCCGTCCGACCGCATCCGACCGCGACCCAGTCATCCAGTGATCAATGTCCGACCGCCAACCGGTCCCCGTCTACCTACAGCACAGACACAGGTGACGAATTATGGACCACCTTCCACAACAGATCACTGACTCTCCCGCGCACCGAAACACACAAACAAACCCAGAAACCGGCTGCAGCTTAAACCGTCCTCGATCGGCTCAGGTAAGCCGAATTCTCGTGCACTGATCTACCGGTCGAGAGGTCAATGCTCGGTGATATGTCTTCTAGATTCGCTGAATCGGTCGCCACTGAGCACAGTCACTATTCAACTCTCTCCCCAGCCCGTTGTCAACCGCTTCACGCTATCTCCGTCAGTTCGCTCAGCTGCCACCAACCACACTCGGCGACCGAGCTCTCCGACGATTCGGCGCCATTCAGCGCTGCCTCTACCAGCACTCTGAGCCAAGCACCATCCGGAGCAGACCGGAGCAGCCGCCGAGCGCCGTGACGCTCCGTGCCCCCGCCCCCGGCTCCCGGAGCGTCACGGATGGGTCATGGCCCGCGTCACGGCCGTCACGACGTCACGGTGTGGGTTACCGCTGTGCTGGATTCGCGAGAAGGGACTGCAGAATGCATAATGAGGTGACAAAAGTTCGTATGCCTTTTCGCACATTAATAGCTGCATTTTTGAACCAAGCGTTGTACGGTACACGCTGCACAGCGCACACTGCGTTAGGTAACGAGCCCTTTCCCCATGGACCCCACTTATAAACGGGTACTCGATACCAATTGATACATGCTATATGGCAGCTACATATAAGCCATCGGCTGTTGTAAATGGCATACCCTAACCTCGAGGAAATACTATTATTCGAAGTGTCCTGACTGCCTATACGGATTGAATGCAGCGTCGGAGCTTCCACCGGCCCAGACGACCACGTACCGTTTGATCTCAGAAGCTCACCGCCTCCGCACATGATCCCTAATTAATTACGCCTAACTAGCCATAAACCACTCCCTTCGGCGCGGTGTCGACTGCGGCTCGGTCACGGTAGCGCCGCCAGTGCGCCACATACGCCGCCGATGCGCAGCAGTCCCGTCTTCACGGCGGACGGCGGAGCATGACGGCCGCCGGTCCCGAGCGGAAAGGTAACGGGACGGGTGTCAGGAGCGGCATATCGTGGGCGCCACGGGACACGATAGAGGAGCGCAGGGCGCGGCCGGGGTACCGAAATCAAGGTACGGTGAGAAGAAGCCGAAATATATGAGCAGTGACGGAAGTGCCACCGGTCGTGGCAACTGGCACAGAGACCGTATGACGTGATGGTTGGGTCGTGCATAAACATAACCGTGCTAGCTGGATGTAACACGGAACCGCGTGCATCAGAAATGATCGGATGTCGTGTTCCGTCGACCATCTGCTGTGGAAATGTTCAGATGTGCATTCATGGCATTAGTAGGTAGTGCATCTCTGGCGGATGCCATCTGTTCTAAATTCTGGCTGTGCTGTCGGTCGTGGTTACGCTGTTCTCCCGTGGTGGTGAGTGTGCACCGTTTCACTGTTCCAGTGCATTTCAATGACGAATGGGACGCGCTCAGACAGACCCAGTTCGTCTGTCATGCATATCGTATGGAGACAGACGGGGATTGACCCAACAATCAACATATTATCGGGCTGACTGGAAAAGAGGTCACAAAGGCAACGAGTGGCTGATCAGAGGAACCCAAGCATGAAACTGTCATGTGTACCTATTGTGTAGGCATCTTGTGTATCGTATCATTTCAAACCGTCAAGTGAATTATGCACGATACCCGATAATGATTATTTCGCAACGTAGGTTCAGTATTAAGATATTTGCAAACGCTCTACGAGTACGTACCTTTTAAGCTATACCTATATGTATATGAAGAGCAAAAAAATTGAGATGCTACATCACTGAATTTTTTTACGATCCAGAAAACGTTGCAAGGCCTGATATGCAAACAATCCTAACCGTTTTAACAACTTTTTCAAAGGATGTTTAGATAAGTATTAAATGTGTGAAGGGGTAAGGGGCGTAATACGGCTTTTAACGTTTAAGCGGCTACAATATCTACGATTATAGGTACGGCTAATACTATCAGGTGCATTAAACGTCTAAAAAATGTTTGAACGGCTTATAACTTAAGTTTTCAATTAGACGTTAAAACGACCATTTGATGTTAAAGAGACGTATTAATTTTTGTGAGTACTGACAATGATAGATAGGCGGCTAGTTAGCATTTAAACCGCTTTTAATCATTTTCACGGCCTAAATATATTTAAACGGCTAGAAGACCTTTAAAGGGCAACTCAAATCAACGTTTAAACGACCTTTAGACGTTTTAATGTCTAGTAAAACGTTTAAACGGCTAAAAGACGTCTCACAATTTCTAATCGTATTTAGAAGTCCGTCGAGTGGTAAGTGGTAACGCAAAACGGTTTTGTCTTCATTAGACAGAAAAATGCTTTTTTGAAACTAGCTACTCATCTGTCATGGTAACTAACGTTTAAATAACTAGCTTTCGGAAATCGGAATATTGATCAAATAATCTTAACGTCCACCCAGACGTTTCAAACTTCTACCAAGGATTACGTGTAATATTTCCTATATATTTTGTGCTTCCAAATCGTCTAGTTAGTCGCACACGAAAGTCAGGAGTGCCGCGCACGGTGAGAAGAGCCACCCACCCTCTCTCAATCGGTCACTTCGGAGGAAAAGAGTCCCATTGAAATTGTTCTCTGTCGGGTGTCCCGCTGGGACGATTGTCAGCCGACTGCCAAGAGCGATTTGCTGGTTCTTAGCATGAAGATTGAGGATGGCATCGCTTAGAAGCGGCCAGTCAATGCACAGGAACTGACGTCTCTTTCCTGGTAGACTGTTCCGCACTACACGCGTGATTGCGGCGCAGCATGATCCCTATATCGCACGGATGCCGAACAATCTACAAAACAAATAGCTGTTTAGAGCGAAAAGTCCAATAACTTATGCAATTGATCGCTTGGCTGTTTCTGGGCATACCATGTGACTCTCGGCTGTTGGGTACTGCTGAGCGTCACCTGTGTGGTCCGGGCCATATATGAGTATGCACCTATGCATAGTGTCTGAAGCACCATTCTTCGTTCTCAGAGCAGAGGGCGCTGGCCGTTGGACCTGGACGTTCTCCAACCTTTGTGCAGCAGATGGCGCTATAGATACCTACTCAGTTCAGAGCTGGACGCGTTTGCCTTGGTTGTATTCACCAGCCACCATTGGAGGTGGTAGTCTGGTAGGTGGCATTGGTTGCCACCCTTTCTCAGACAGCCGTGACATGGAGACAGGAGACCCATGCTTTAGGATCACTTACGTATATTGCCTAAAGAAGTGACCATTTCAGTCACCGTTCCGTGCTTTTATCCTCAGGATACTGAAATCCTTCTCCTCCACGCCGCAACCCCTCTCCGGGCTGGACAGGCAACTTTATCTCATGCGGGCTGCTCCCTTGGAGCGGCACCGCTGCTCCCGAGGGAGCGCACCCCGTAGCCGGGTGCAGTGAGTGCCTTGGGGCTGGGTGGCCTGTCCTCTGGACGGGCTCAGCCCCGGCGACTCACTAGGGTGCCTGCCCAGACCAATGTCTCCCCCTTTATCCTATCATCCTCCCGGCTCTGAAATGGTCCCATTGGACCGAAAGGGCCTAACCCAACAAAACAAAAAGAAAACAAACAAAACCATTTCAGAGCCGAACGATGATAACAGGGACGTAGCAAGGGGGGCACGGGGGCCATGGCTCCCTCCCCTTGTAGGCAAAAAATGATACAAAATTAAATAAAAGATAATAAATAAAAACAGCTGCACCACACATCCAAAAATAGTGGGCCGAATCCGAGAAGCTTTCCTTTTTTGGAGGGGTACGACACTAGGCCGCGACCTGTGGCCCCTCCCTAAGCAAAATACTGGCTTCGTGCCTGGATGATAAAGCCAAGAGCGACATCACAAAGAAACGTTACCGATCAGTGGGTGACCGCGGCTCAGCCGTGTCCCGAGGACGAGGGCGAGCCTCTAAATACAGGCAATCTATTTTTAGGTGGGATCTTATACGTGGGCATGCCTACTTGCATTTAATTCTGAAAGAGAAAAGTTTTAAAATAACAATTTTTTTTTTCAGATCAAATTTAATCTCACTGTAAGAAACGGTGTTGACTATTAATCGATGAATGTCGCCCCATTCATACGCAAAACATTTGGTCATTTCACTATATACCCGCATGCACCGCAGCAAAACGACAAACGAGCACAGACCAATGGTCAACCAACTTGCATGCAGCATCTCTAAACATCACGGAACGAAACACCCACACGCAAAAATACACGAACATAGCTATGGAATAATAACAATATAACCAGTAAAACGCCTTTTGGGCGAAGAACGAGCGAGCGAGATAGTGAGCCCTGCACGTGCGGAAGGGCGAGAGGGTGCTTCCAACGGGCTTGCGCAAAGCACCCTTCTAACTGGTCGCTAGCGGTGTGCCAAATTTGAACGCAATCGGCCCAGCCGTTCCTGAGATCTGGAAGCGGCATTCTGCACGTGCGCACGTGCAAACGGGGTCCAAAATGACTTTTGCACGGCACCCTACTAACTGGTCCCCAACCGTGTACCAAATTTGAGCGCAATCGGCCCAGCCGTTCTCGAGATCTGGAAACGCCCCCTGCACGTGCGCACGTGCAGTACCACCCTAATCGCAACACATGGGAATGCATTGCCTGGTGGGTGCCTACCTGTATGCCAAGTTTCAGCGAAATCGCCCCAGTAATTACCGAGTTACTGAAATGGGAACAAATTTGGCACCTCTTATTGTTGTATTTTGCACGTGCACTGGGGGTGACCCACATGCATCGAGACTATCCTATTTTGGGTAGAAGGGATGCTGCTACCCTACAAAAATTACCGCAAGTCAATCGCCCAAGCGGCTGCTGAGATATGAGCCTCTCAAAATCACTAATTTTGCAAAACAGCTTGAACACCCTTGACTTTTCACGTGGCACGTGCCACGACGGTCACTGAGATGTATCAAAAGTAGTCAATTACGGGGTAGAAGGGATGGGGCTACCCAACAAAAAAGACCGCAGGCCAATCGGTCCAGCGGTTGCTGAGATATAAGCCTCTCAAAAGCGTTACAGGCCGGGCCGGGCCGGGCCGGGCCGCTCATACTGAGATTTTTCCGTTATATTGAAAAGACTCACTTCGCTCGCTGCGCTCGCTCGCTCGTAATAAATGTCTGATAAATTTGCAAATTAACGCACGATCGATGCTCGCTCACCATGCATTTGGCATGAGTAATAAATTAAAGTTGTACTCTTTCCTCCGACTAATATCCTATCTAAAGCTCAGCAGCGAAAAGCCAGCACACCGCGCTGGCTCATCCCGGTTTATCAACGCAGGAGAACGTCGCCTCACAGCGTCCTCCCGTCCTGGCCTCCAGGACGGCGGCCAGCTTCTCCCACAGAGAGACCTCCGCCGTGGGGATCAGGGACGTCCCGACACTGTGAAAGGGGTCTCTGGTCAGTACGGGAACGGGGTCAAACATTAAACAATGCCATCAGCGAGAGATTACATTTTTTTGTCAGCCAATTGAAATATTCTTATCTTCATCCAAAATTATCTCGTGAGAAAATACTTTAATTATTTGGTGTACCTATTCGAGACCGAGTATCGAACGGCTACGTAATAGTCAGCGCCATGTCCGATATCTTGAATAAACGCTATTTACATGCATACGAGTCATTTGGTATTCCCAGAAACAGCCAAGCGATCAATTGCATAAATTATTGGACTTTTCGCTCTAAACAGCTATTTGTTTTTTAGATTGTTCGGCGTCCGCGCGATATAGGGATCATGCTGCGCCGCAATCACGCGTGTAGTGCGGAACAGTCTACCAGGAAAGAGACGTTAGTTCCTGGAGCATTAACTGACCGCTCGTAGGTATATGTGCCTACCATATATCAAGGGCGCCTTTTAAAAGCACCTACATATATTTCCGACATTTTGAATACCTTGATTTATTATTAATCCATTTCCTACTTCAAAATGCATTAATTACCTAAGCATACAATTACCCACTATGCAACCAATGCCCTTCGCCCCTCCCCCCCCCCCTCTCGACACAAACATCGGTCTTTTTGTATCGGTTCCGTTTACCGTCTCTCACCTGACGAGGTTATAGATGAGTCCTTTGTAGACCTCCTGCTGCTGCGCTCGGCTGTTGAGCTGACAGAGCCGGCGGGCCACGCAGCCTGACCTCTCCAGCACCAGCAGCCGGGAGGTGCTCAGCAGCGCCTCGGCTGCCAGCTCGGGCACCTCGTCCACGCTGCCCAGCAGGAAGGTCAGCTCGGACCAGAGTCCGACCTCTGCGGCACCTCCGTCTCTGCGGCCTCCGGTGCCGCCGCCCGTACCCGTGCCGCCGCCACCGATCGCCTGCTGTACCAGCAGTAACAGGAACGTGCCGAACGCTAGGAAACTGAGCCCCGTGAGCAGCATCCCGAAACTGGGGAGCAGCATGCCGCCGCCGCCCCCGTAGCCCATGGACGACCTGGCTGTCGCCGCGAGCAGACGGTTAGCCGGCCGCGCTAGGGACCGGGGCACGAGCGAGGGCGCCGCAGGGCCGGGCACGGTCAGCGCAGCGAGCATCATTGTCCTCCACAGACGCCGGGATGGAAACTTGGAGGACCTAGAGGTGATTGCCATAGCTCGCAGCACTGTCACAAGTCAACAAGTCGACTGGCAAGATATGTGCACTTCCATGCGCGCTTACACTTCAACGCATACGAAAGACCAACTCGCACTTCTTCAATTGAAGCACACACAAGAAACACCCGCTGGGCGGCATGCACAAATCTGACGCGATTGAGCCATGTGCGGCGCGTCCGGGACGGCTGCGGCGCACGTCCGTCCCGGCCGTATAGTGCAGGTGAAGTCTCACTCAGGAGCGCACAATTGACAACCGTTCTGGTACGGTGGTGACGAGGCGGAGCATTGGCGGCGGTGGCAGCGGCAACAACAGGAACGGCGAATGGGCGCACGGCGAACCCAGTCGACCGGGAGTCCCGGTGATGTGATGGCGGTGATGGCGGTGAAGATCCTCAACTGTGACCGGGTAACGGATGGGCGCAGCGACCACAAGTGGTTGATGCTTGCGTGAAGGCTATATGTAGTGGCAGACGGTTGGAAACTCACGTGAGGAAGGTCTCCCATGCGTGCTGGTTTGGAAATTCCAGTGCAAAGAACTTAAAACACAGCTCGGCGCTCGCCCATCGCTCATAGTAGTTTCACGGCTTGTTGCGGGTCAAAATGTTTCATTTTAATTGGTAAGCTTTCAATTGGTCCACTTTCAAACATTCATCAAAATTCGATCATCAGCATAATCTATCAATTTGTGCGCACACCAGTAGCCGATATTAGCTACGAATGTCGTGCCGTCTTTATAATGCAATGACATATATGTCATTGCCCACCCACCTATATGTGTACACACGCATGTGTGTATAAATAAATGTATGCGTGGGAATGGCGCGATCTGTTGTTTACCGTTTTGTACGCTATACCGCGCCATTCGCAAATGTCCCACAGTCGACTGCAAGCCCACCGTCTATGCGTCGTGCATACTTGGTGCATATGCCGCCTACACATCGTGCCTATAGCTTCAGCAATGTCTTATGGCACATACCGGCCCGGCAGAACGGTCCTCACTGTTAGGCGCTTACGCCAACGACTTCAGAATACCTCACCGCGACGACACGCTACGTTAATTATGGGACATTAGCCAGCATGACACTGGTTCGCTACGCACCGTCCTCGCTCGGGGAATTACGCCAAATTACGGCTGAAAAATGGGGCAAAATGAGCATCACAACAAACTCGAGCCCTCCTTCGCTATATGGTGTTCCACTCACAGCAGTGTGCTATCATTCCTTATTGCAGTTCGTGATATGGATTCATTGGACAAATAAAATAATGCAGTCAATAACATCAGAGCTAATGACGTCTTTTCTATCGTTCCATTTTCCTCTCAACAGTCTCAGCCATCATATTCGCATCACGCACGCCCTTGTATGAATGGCATGCGTTTCGTCTCGCTCCAGTTTTGTCAAAAGCCATGAAAATTATTGCTGCACTTTTAACGTGTTATGTGAGTCGGCTCTCCGTAATGCACAATAAATAAAGACGTCAAATAATAAACGACGTTTATTATATGAACATGCTAGGCCTGTTCTTTCATATAAGCGCATGATCGAACCATTGAAAGAAAGAGAAACATAATAAATTAACATACACTTAATTGAATCATATGTCCCAATGCGTAAAACATTCAACAAGTTAAACACTGTTCAATACACTATTAAAGAGACACGGCACTACCCTCTGCGCTATTTTTATCGTGGCGTTAAATTCACGCTCAGATAACATAAATACTTGAACGAATTATAAAGACCCTAGGAATTAAGCGATCTGATAATTGCAAAAACATTTAACAACATAAAAAGGAGCGTAGTGAATCTATGTCCCGCCATCCCAACTCTACTGTCACAGAGCCGTCTCGTTACATGGATTTGGAGCCACTACCCGAATGTACTCCACGAAAAATATGAAGCTAGCCTGTTGACCTAGTCCGTCTCGTCTCCATTTGTCTCTCCATCTGCAGAGCAAGACGTGCAACGACCATGAATCTAATCTGCAAACAGTAGTCGGAACAAATGCCTTGCAAACAGACAGTCACGGTAAATAGCTCGGTCTGGCCTCAGAGTGCAACAATAACTCCAGACGAGAAACTCAGACGATTTAAATGACCCTGTTTTTGCAGCGACTGTCGACGGCCCACAGCCAGCCCGTGACCCGGGCCCGCAGTTGGATTTGTAATGCCACTAAACATAGATTATATGGTGTCGTTTACACTGAATCAGCTGACGACCAGTTTGTGCAGGCCCGCGCGACTAGATGATCTCTGCCACCTGACCTTGACCTGACCTCAGGTCGGGTCAGCTGAGCAGCTTTCTGCGGCACGAGACCAGCACGAGAGGTCGCTGCTGTCGTCCGTTGCGTCCCATAGCGAAGCTCCCAGACTCAGGAGGTTCCAGACGGGTGCATCGCTCATGGCTGACTGAACCGCCCTGTAAAACGGTAAAATAAGCTGAACAGGGTCTACGTAATTTAGCGATGGAAAACCGCTAAAGCATATGTAAACAAGCTTTCCAAACAAATATCTTTTGTTCCCAGTATTGTATAGGGCAGGCTAACACCGAAAATGATAACATTGATAACGACACAAAATTTGTTTATTATTAAAACTTAAATACCTCATTGTTAAAATTTATAAATGCTTGCAGTACATATATGAATGCCCTATCACATAAAGTTACATAATAACATTTAGCAATAATTCTTTGAAACGCTAATTTTAAATTGAAGTGCCCCATTATACGGTTAGTTAACAATCTCCGGGGGTACTCACAGTACGGCGATGGCGGCGGCGATATCGGCTGGGCTGTCGACCCTGGCCCTCAGCTCGTGACACAGCGCCAGCGGGCGGCAGGTCAGGTCATCGGGCAGGGCGGCGACGGAGCCGGACAGCGAGCGGTAGGTGCCCAACAGGTGACCCACGGTGCTGGAGCCGGAGGGACAGGTCTGGTGGCTAATCTCGTCAGCAACCTCTTCACCACTTCCTTCAGCAAGGTGGTCAGCGTCTTCAGAAGCGTTTGCTTCGCTTTGGTCAAGATATTTGGTGGTGATGTTGGTGGCATGTTCTTGCTGCTGTCTGCTGGCTCCTTCAGCGTCATCAGTCAGGCCGTCTGTACAGCGTTCCGTCAGGATCTCTAGCTCGCGGAGCAGTCTGGATCCTGCGCCCGCCACCTGACCTCCTCCCTCCTGGGTCAGCGCGTCCACCACCCAGAGGTTTGCGGTGGTGTTACCAAGCACCTCTCCAAGGGCCACGGCACGCTCCGCCGCGAACAGCGCGAACGGAAGAACAACGAGCGCCGAGAGAAGGCCGTCCACCACCGACGACCTGCCGGTACCGGCGGGCAGACCGGCTCGGTCCTGGAGGATCGTCGAGTCCGGCTCACCCCAGTCCGTGTATTGCAGCACCTGACCTCTCTCATCAGCTCTGGTCCTATCCCAGCGCTCATCGCGCCTCAGAACACTTGGCAGAAGTGGGAATCGAATGGAGGGAACTCCCCAGTTGAGTGACGGGAATGTCGACATGCGCCGGAGGAAGCCTCCTAGCAGACCCATCTGCCAGTCGTACGCGGCGCGGAACGGAGCGCTGAGCCAGTCGAACGACGGGAACCGGTGCTCGGCCGGCCTGTGTGGCCTGTGAGGCCCGTGAGGTCCGTGAGGTCTGTGAGGTCTGTGAGGTCTATTGGGTCGGCGAGGATGGTCAAACTCGTCCAGCGTATCAGTTTCGGCCGGTGCCGTGCCGTAGTCCACTTCTGTGACCGGGTCGAGGGTGTGTGCGTCTAGAGCTGCCTCGCTCACGGCGCCGAAGCCGGAGACCTGCGGTGTGTAGGTAGTCGGAAACGGCTGGACGTCTATGGGCTCGGAGGGCCGTGTCCCATCGCGACGGTTCGGCGACCCGCGTAGAGTCGGCAACTGAGAGTTGTAGGGAGGACCGTACATCTGGCTTGGTCGTTTCCTGGGAGCTCCATATGTTTGACTGGGTCTGCTTGGAGTGTTGTATGAAGAGCTTGGCTTGGAATTCGGAGCACCGTTAGACGCGCTCGACGTAGACTTCGGTGGTCCGTATGATGCTTTGGGTTTACTCTTTGGTGGTCCATAAGATGTCTTGGGTTTTGACTTCGGTGGTCCGTACGAAGCATTTGGTTTGGATTTAGGTGGCCCATACGATGCGTTTGGTTTAGACTTGGGTGGCCCATACGATGCATTTGGCTTAGACTTTGGAGGTCCATACGAAGAGTTTGGCTTCGACTTCGGTGACCCATGCGATGGTTTCGGTTTTGCTTTTGGTGGTCCATACGATGGTTTTGGTTTTGCCTTTGGTGGCCCGTATGATGGCCTTGGCTTTCGTTTGGGCTTGGGAGGCCCATACGAAGGTCTGGGCCTTCGCTTAGACTTTGGTGGTCCATATGAAGGTTGAGGCTTTCGCTTGGGTTTCGGAGCTCCGTACGAAGGCCTTGGCCTGGGTGCTCCATATGACGGTCTTGGTCTCTTGCGACGTCGATGGGGTCTGTTCCTGTTTCGCCTGACGTGTCGCTCGTACCACCAGGGCGTCCTCCATGTCGTGAGGTACTCCCAGGAGGGGAACAGTCTGCGGATCCTCCTCCTCATGCCGTTCCAGATGCGGGACATCCGGGATACTATGCCGGCCCTCGGTATGGAGCTGGCTGCGGTCTGGTCTTCGTACCTGTACTCGTTGTCTCCGGCCGACCACCCGGAGTCGGAGCTAAACGCCGAGTCGTAGTCGCCGAGCTCGAGTCCATTCACTGATTCCAGCGCGTCCTGACTGGATTCGGCCGTCAGATCAGGGTCGCCGTAGATGGGGTGCGTGTCGGCCGTCTTTGTGATGACCAGCCACTGAGAGTCGCTGGTGCCCAAGTCACCTTTCGCCGAACCACCCGGACCAGGACTGGAGCCGAGCATTGGGGTCCACTGGAGGCTGTCGGCACAGGTACTGCACGGACCCAGTGGGGATCCGTCGTCTGACGGCCCTAAAATGGTGGAGGCGGTGGCCAGCTGATCCTCCAGGAATGGTTCCGAGCCGGCCTCGTAAGGGGCCTCCAGCCCCGTCTCCGCCACACTGGTGACTTCGGTGACCTCTGTGGCCTCGGTGCTGACCTCTGTGACGTTCGGACGGCGCAGCATCTCCTCGAAAATCGTGGCGAGCGTGTCTCGAACAGCCTCCTTAAAGCCGGTCCCGTTCGTGTCATGTTTCGTGCCGGTATCAACGATGGCTGCGTCACGTGCAGTCAACGAGGTGATGTATGATGTGAGGTTATCCACACGGTGAGCCGACAAGCCGTCTTTCGGTGGTGTGTTTGGGTATCCTAAACTGTTGACCTGCCTTAGGTCATCCCCTGCCGGCCAGGGCCACCCACGCTCCGGGAGACGGTAGCCGCTGACCAGGTCGTCCTGTCCCCGCGCTGTACTCTCTCCAGCTCCGCCATCCTCTGAGATCTCCTCGTCATCCTGCCACTGTATGACCCAGTCTGGACCGGCTGACCTGTCCACGGACATGTACCGCGATGGGGACAGGGCCGAGGCCACCGTCAGCGCGGCGGCTGAGCCGGAGCCGTGGTGTAGCAGCAGATCAGACAGGGTGGCTGGACCGAACACCGTCACCTCGTAACCTGGGCTTAACGTCAGCAGCGACAGCAACAGTGGAAGAACGGCCAGCGGCGATGGCTGCAGAAGGCGCACCATCGTCGAGCTAAAAGGCGAGACAGGTGGAGGGTTTCGCCCTTAAACCACGGAGCTTCACTTTTCACTGGAATTACATACCGATTTTGGTTGCGTCACGATGTTCAAGGTGACACACAAGGCTCAACCATGGGTCCAGTTTTCGATCCGTTCTTGATTGACTCACACCACGTCAGTGCCCGTCATTCTACACCTTCCAGATAACACCGTTCAGTTCAACCTCACTCTCGGCGTCCAACTCAGGAGTCAGCACCGTCGCTGCCGGCGGCAGTGCTGCCTCGACGCGACTGGTCACGGGCCGGGTCAGGACCCCGGAAGGTCCGGCCTCCGCCCCGCCCCGGCGCCCACACTCGCTACCGCTACCACCACCAGCGGCCCGAGCAGCCATTAGTTCACCCAAACGCAGCTGGGGCGTGCAACTGGTGCGCCGGTGGCACGGGGCCACGGCACCGGACCAGTGGGACACGGCCGGCCACGGGCGGCGACGGAACCGTCACGAAACGGTCCGAGCCGGAGCGCAGCGGCACGGAATCGGTCACGGAATCGGTCACGGAACGGTTACGGAAACGGTCACGAATGGTCACCGAGCCGTCATGGAGCCGAGACGGAAACGGCGAGGAGTCGTCACGAAAGCAACGGCAAGTATACAGTTGTATATTTACACAAGCTGGACAGAGTCACAAGACAGCCTGGTGTATCGTCAACATCACGCGAACATAAGACAAAAAGTGAAATAATGAAACGACTGTTACGTTCTGAATGGCATGTCGGAGGCATGCGTGAGCATGAAAAGGGTGGATCCTGGGTGACCTGGATCAACTCACAAACCTCGTGCGTGCGCTGGTCGCACGGTGCATCGAAGATAGCGCTACACCGCTCCATCATTAGAGTCCGAAGAGGCGCGCCCGAAGGAGGCCATCTGTCTCAGAGACTGTGGCCGCTCGGAGCGGATTGTCACGAGTCGTTAGACGGCGCTCGTCACTCACTAACACGCACTCCGTCACAGTGAGTGATTGAAACTCGAAGAAACTCCCCGCGGCGGCCAACAAACGGCCTGGCGCGTGTAAAACAATCACGCAGCTGGCAGCCGTCCGTGGAACATAAATTGTAGGCGAGCGCTAAACGATCTCTTCTCTAGCTTCTAAGTAGACGCGACCCACATTCATGATAAAAAATGAGCAGCAAAAGCGTTATTTTATTAAAACATATGAGAGCAATGCGACGGTAATAGCTGGCTAAATTGCTACCACCCAAATTACATTATTCATCAATCATCATCTGTCCAAAGAACGCATTGCAAATTGTACACATGTGTTATGCAGTGCACAATGCACATGGTTATAGTTGCAAATTTGAACCCGGCTAATGATAACGCACATAAAATAAATTGCATTTTCTCGCAGCTTCGATATCCTAATTCTCCGATAAACGGGGTCAGACGTCCTCCAATTTCACTCATTTCCTACCGTTGAAGTCCGGAGTGCGAATAAAACTGTTTGTAGATTTTATCATTATATATCTCTGAAACAAGATAAAGCATTGTTTAGCCGATACACTTGGTAAAAAATAACCACTGAAGGGTTTAACGGTCAAGTTCTTTAACCCGCGCCCAGATGGGGTCTGCCGAGCAACGCGGTCTGATGGGGGGGGGGGGCATTTTGGCCCCCCCCCCTCAGATCTCGAGAACCACACAACATAGCGACAAGCGGTAAACGGTGTTGGATAGCCCCAACGGGGAACTTCCTTGTGACCCAATTTCATTGACCTCGGTCAAACCGATGACGTCACAGGTCAGGTCAAAGGTCGAATTTTCACCGTTTACAGGCATTTCAAGAAATGCGTTGTAAAATCGAGTAAAATGCATTTCATTGAAAATCATCGATGGAGAAATGTTCTTCAAACACATATTTTGCTATTTGAGGTCACTGATACCAGGTCAGGTCACAGAGGTCAGGTCACTGGGGGGGGGGGGGGGGGGGGGGGTCACAATATGAAAGTGTCGTGTGATACATGTTTTATGGTCCATTTTGCATGACAAATGCGATTATGTGGGTCAGACAGACTTTAGGGCCAGCTTAGGTCACGTTTTGGTCAAGGTCAGGTCAAGGTCAGGTCAAGGTCAGGTCAAATTAGGTCAAATTTCAAAGTTGATATTTTTGCATAAAATGGGTATCGATTCGATGCAGCTCGTCACGGGGAGTTCAATGGTGGTCTCCGTTTTGCGCTACGAGGTCTAGAATTGCAAAAAAAATTGAGTTCAAAAATTTGACGTCATCAATTTGTAACAGTTTTTTCGCTATAACTTGGCCAAAAAAAGAGGTATCGATCTAAAATTTGGTATGTATATCGAAGAGCGCAGGGACTATCACATATATTCCGGTTTTTTCGAAATTCGAATTTTTTTGGAATTTTTTTGAGTTTTTCTAAAAAAATCATTTTTTTTATTTTTGGGGGTCAAAATCCACAAATTTCGGAAATCCGAGATAGCAGTTTTGTAGCGCCGTCTTTTCTCTACACAACCACATAAAGAACTTTAAAATTGCTTGCTAACTGTAGAATTGGTGAGCGTTTCAAGATGTCATGTTTTTTGCTCATTTTTGCTCGAACATGACCTCAGTTTGACCTCAATAACTCCTGACCTGAGGTGACCTGTGACTTGAAATTTTGTGTGAAGGTGTCAAATTGATGCCCGGTAAGGTACCAAAAATTTGGCGGCGCTGCGCGCCGCCGTTTTCTCGCTATTTAAGAAAAACCACAGGGGGGGCCAAAATGGCCCCCCATCAGGGCGCGGGTTAATTTAGTTTATAAATGTGCCTATACGTTACTGGGTTCCCGTTTAAAATGTACCTACCTCGAAATGAAAACTGTTACTGCGCTTGCCGCATTAAATACGTTTAAAATGTGTAGAGTCGGCGCGGTTACAAAGGTTACTTGATAATCTGGAATATCAAACGTCTCTTACAATAATGATAAAATAGCCGAAAAGTGTTTTATTTATAAAATTTAGGTGCATGCATCATATATAGCGATGAGATGTTTCCATGAATTATATTGTGAACATTACACAATGCCTCATAATGTTTATAGCTAGCCTAATTGAATCACAAATGTGCTTTGCCAACCACATCGTACCGTAAGTGCGCGTGCAGGTGGTGTCCGAGCGGCCCCAGCAGAGTGCAGGCCACTCTTAAACCACACTCGGCCTCCTCTCGCTCTGCCGAGAGTCCTCGGCGGCGGCGTCCTCTCCTCTGAGGACAGCCATTCTCGGAGGACGGAGAGACAGGAGGACTGCCGTGAACAGCGAGCGACCTGCGGCACAATGCCGTAACCGGCAGTAGGTATATGTTGATCGGACGAAAGTTATATTGATCGGACTGCTTATTTGCTAATGAACATATCATATACTTATCACAAAAACATAAATATAAAATTACTAGATGTAGAATTATTATATAACAAGGATATTATACGGCAACTACTAACATTTCTGTAGGTAACAGTATAAGTAAAGTGAATCGAATGAATCGACCGATTAATCGAATCGATTATCGTACCAGCTGCGGACCATGTCCTCCAGCTCCCGCTGCCTCTCCTTCATGTGAGCCCGGAACGACCTGCGCCGTCTCCGTCTCCGTCTCCGTCTCCTTCGACGGCCCGGCGGCATGATGTTCACCTGTGGGTAGAGAGAGAGAGAGAGAAAAAAAAAACGGTGCATGCAACATGTTCAACTTGCTGCTTTAAATACAAGTGAAGCAGAGTGCCTGCTGGAAGACCTATAATGTGCAGATTAAACGGTTGGACATTTCTTTCTTATCGTACATCAATAAACAATAATAAACGGTTATACAATAATAAACGATTGATTATCAAACGTTAAACGGTAGAATCCATAAATAATTACACGCCAAATTGATGGTTTTTCACAAAACTTCATAATTATTAAGCATGTAAGGTGCTTATCCAAAAATTCGAATGAAATTGCCTCTAATATATCATATAAAATATATTTCCAAAATATATTTGATGTAGGTACTTTGCAGGGGCGTCGCCACGGATTTTTGACTGGGGGGGACGGATTGGCTGACTAAAAACCCAAAAGCTAGTTACCGTACAATTTCAGGCCTATGCACTACTTATAACGCATACACAATACACATGTTCTCATGTTCTCGCGTGGAGGCGTTATTAGTCACACTCTTTTCTATCTGTGCATGAATTGGCGGCGCGAAGCGCCGCGAAAATTGGCAAAAACTCTTTGCAAAACAGTCCCAAAAGGCATAAATTTTGCATCCCGAGTAATAAGTTTGATACCAGGACAGTTAGGATCTGGTCACCAAGTCCAGCAGCCCTGCCTCTAAAAAATCGTGTGGTCCTCTGTCAACCATAGGTACAGCTTATTTCCAAGAAGTTTGAAACTCTGTGCAGTGTAGCTGCAGGACCGCGGGGTCGGAGTCGACTTCGGTCGTAGTCGACGGTTTTGGTCGGATACGGAGTTGGAGTCACCAAAGTCGTACCAGACTTCAACTCTGAAGTCAGAGTCAACGTCATCCCCGAGGATGGGTCGGATAAAAGCTGGAGATTCTGTTGGCTGTGGTGATTGAAGGCCGGGTCATGGTAAGACCAATGTAGGACCATACTGAGTATTACATCCTCTTGGGCTCTCTCAGACCAGGACGAGGTCCTCTCACCCTCAAGCATCAAGCGTTCAAAGGACATGGTGAGACCTTCTGCTGTCGGATGGCCTTGAACGGGAAGAGGGCCGTTTGAGAGTGAGCTGAAGGTCTTGACTATTACGAATATCCTACATAAAATGTGTGGTCTTTGCAAGCTTGAGACTTTGGGACAGATCTTCAGCCCTTGTTGAATATGGTCGCCCCTACAACTGGAGCTTTGGCTCCCTATCGAGGACCTGGGACGGACAGTCCAGAGCTGCACCTCGTAGGTAATGTTATCTTTTAACGTGCCAAGAAATGTTCAAAGAGACAAAAGCATCACATCACATGTTTTTCACTCCGATGCGGGCCGAGGGATGCCGTGATCGGAGATGGGGTGGGGACTCCGAGCGATTTTTTAAAAGCCGGAGTCAGAGCTACCAAAATCAATCTACTCCGCAGCCCTGCAAGCAAGTGCAGTGTCAGCAATTCGCATGATTCAATTTGTATACGAGTAGGTATCCGCAATTTCATCCCAAAACGACAATACACCAATTTCGTTGATCACTTTTTTAATCATTCATGAGGATATTTTTGCGGGGGACGTCCCCCCCGGATTCCTCGACTGGGGGGGACGCGTCCCCCCCGTCCCCCCCGGTTTCGACGCCCATGGTACTTTGTTACTTTATTATTCGAAGGACATCCTTACCTGATTTGCGTTGTTGCTGTTCAAGTTGGCGTTCACATTATTATTGTCCAGATTGTTGTTATTATTATTGTTGTTGTTATTATTGTTATTATTGATGTTGTTATTGATATTCAACACCAGCGTCATTATGCCCACGACGAAGCTGAGATAGTTGAAGCTGTTGAATCCGGACAGAATTCCGCCTGTGTTCACACACGGTCGTTTCTTGTTGTTTTTCTTCATGTAGAGGACGGGCACGCGGCGCCGGGTCCTCGAGCGCAGCCCGAGCCTCTCTGTCGCTGTGGTGGAGTTGGTCACAGGTGCTCCGACCTGCCGAGGCTCCTGCAGCTCTCCAGGGGATGTAAGGGACCGGTCAGGGATCAGACCCTGCTCCTCCCAGACTGCAATGTGCCGGGACAGTTCCATTTCGAGCTGCATCTCCAGACTTGTCACCGATCCACCTGAACTACCCATTGCTGCAGAACCACTCACTGTACACATTGTCCACAATGTCCACACTGTCCACACTGGCCGCACTGTCCACATGTTGCTCGTACTGTGGACTGAAAGACCACGCTACAGCCTCGATCCACCGCCGTCAAAAATCGGTTACCGAATCGCTGAACTCCTCTGAGCTACACCCGACACAGCCAGCGGGCACTGCAGTCGGCTCGACTCTCAAGGAGTGCTGACAGCTCGGCTCGCCGGAGTAGCAGTCCGCTAAACTCGGCACCACGCTAACGGTGATGTTCGCAGACCGTTCTATAGACCTGGGTGTTACGAGTGGTGTGCGCCTACTCAACGGTATTTAGGCATAGCGTACCTAACCGTTCACATCCTGCAGCGATGCTGCATAATGCATATACCTACCGGAGATTGACGATTGTAGTGACTCCGTTCACGAGGAGAACTGGAGAAGATGGATTCAGGATTAGGTAAGCGGAACATAGCGGCACAACGATTATGTTCTCTAGTTCAGAGTTCAGCACACATGAAGAGCAGTTCACGCATGGTTAGACGGTCACCACCTGGGTCCTGGGCTGTTAGACGGATATAAAATAAAACTAGGACAGTGAGCTCAGCGGTGACCGGACCCGTGCTAGACCGGACTCTGCTCGGCAGGACACCGGGCGGGGCTAACCTTCCCCTATGTGAGCTCCACGAAAAAAAAAAAACAACTGCAAACTGGCCCATACCTGACGGTGTCTCTGTAACGGAACCGAGTGATTACCCGCTGTATGGAAGGCATGGATTCAGACACTATTGGGCCGGACCGTTTCAGACCGCGGGCCCGGCCCGTAAGCGAACAGGTCATGGTCTGATTCTGCCCACGACCGTGAGGACCGGGCCAGCAAGGTCTCAGTCCTCACCGATTGTAGCTAACCATACCGGTCAACGGCAAAACAGACCATCTCTGACTGGGCCTTATCTGACCAATGTATCTCAATAAAAGATTGTGGCTACCGCCTACCACACCGCATACATACGGCACAGGAACTTCGCTAACTAAGCGTGCCCTTATCGGCCTCTCTAAACGGACGCTCTAGTCTCTGGCCAATATAACCGATCATCTCTGACTTAAGCACTGTAAGCGCAAACGAAAGAGAGAAGTTGGCTCGGTGAGCCTTTCTGGTGATGCTCCTATTGAACCGCATAATGCTGGGGACGAGTCCAGCATTATCCGCATAATGCTGGACTGAATAGATGCGCTCTTTCTCCATATCTTCATTTAGTAGCAGATACCTTCTACTCACTCTACATGTATTACGCATCTGCTACGTGGACTGGCGCAAACATTTTTGCGTGTTTCTTCATGTTGTTATTTACATTTGGTATTTAGGTCACCGTGGTATTTAGGTTCAGGTTGGACGCCGGTGAAGCATATTTACGTCTGGACAACGAGTTGCGGGGAAAAGTGCTGATTGTGTTGCAGTTTTAGGAGCCGGTGATTAGGCTGGATTTTTGGGTTACTTTTTCGTTCCGATTCATGTATGTCATAGTGTTTGGCTTTTGAATATTTTAGTTCTTTCAGATAAATATTACTTGCCTTACAACTTTTGTAAAAACGTTTCATTTTTATAAGCCGACGTTCAGAGTCCTAAAAATACATCAGCACTACAATCATTGTAAACAAACAAATGGAGCAGCACGTCTTGGCTCTGTTCCAAGGCCATTTTTTAGTTTATCTGGTGGTTTTCTTGCTCTTGTACGTCGTTTTGTTGGATGTTTTGAATCCTTTAAGATTGATTATATCATATTTAAGAAGCATGTTGACTGAAAACAATCTGAAGTATCCAGGAGGCTGACAGAGGTCCTGACTACTGAGCAATATCAATATCAAGTTGAACAAGTTATGAAATTTTGGTTGATAAACGCAAGTTGATCGGGCTCATATATCAGCAAGAAAAAGTAAAATTAAAAGAGCTTATTGTCCAAAAACAAGCTATAATATTGCAGAACTTGGAGCAATACTGAAGAGCACCCTGAGCAGGATCATGCCAGAAAATGTTGACTGATGAGCGCATATTGATGTATTGGTATGAATATTGAATGATAACTTACAACAGCAAGATAAATTAGTGCTAACTATCAAGGTAAAATCTAGAATGAATGGACTTGGGCAGTTTTACTATGCTTAGATGCTATGCAGATTGTAATGTGCATCAGGTACTCAGTGTCTGGCAAATGAAACATGCAATCATTACATTGCTACTGGAGGAGAAAGCTTGGATCACTAAATCCACTTTATGTTGATTTTGATGTTAATCATCATCACTGTATTTCTTGAAAAAAGGATTGTAGTAAAATTGTCAATGTGACAATCCATGCAACGATGTGATCATATGTGTTCATAGTCATTCGTGATAGTCATTATTGGTCCAATATACAATGGCAAAGCTCTCAGTCTCAGCGTTTCTTCCTGTGGATGGCCAGCAGTGACTCAGAGCTTAGAAGTATTAGTTTTCTTCACAGGGCTGGGATAAAAAGTACTGAGGGTAATCTTCCACCAAGGAACTCTACTTTGACATGGTATGAGATGTAGGCACAAGTAGGTAGGTGCTCAGTTCCTATAGTCAGTAGTTGTGTATGTTTAGTCGGGTATGCTTAGATTAGATTGTTAGTTTTTTAATTTGCCAAATGTCCATAAAAATGTGACCTGAGCAATGAGCATAGGTACCTGAACCTGACTAACCTGACAGCTGACCTAACCTCAATCATCACACATATTTGCAGCCTACCCAAGACCTGCATGGCAGTAGCACCCAGTTATAGGTACCTAGGTACTCACCCTAACTCAATCTTACCTGCTAACCTTCAACTTGCCAAAAGTTAGCTCACATTTCCAAGCTGCATCCAGGGAAACAGTCAACTGAGGAACTGGCTCATTGGGTGGCTGGTGTGAGTCTGTGCATTTGAAGTGTTTCTTCTCTGAAGCTGCTCTGCACTGCTGTATGTCATGTTAGATGCTCAGAAAATGTGGGAAATGATTACTAAGCTACTTTAGTGCTTTGTTAATGCTCGAGACGTGAACAAGTACAGATCCTGCAGGGTACAGCTATGAGTTAGGTGCTAGGTGGGTGAGTATGTTATGTGAATGTGCTGTTCCCTGTTTGACCGTAAGTATACAAACAAGCACAGGGTCACAGTTATATTCAATCTCCACATAAACATACAACAAAAACGGTCATATAGCCTAACTCCGAACACACCACAGATAACTTAAGCCTTTGCAGGCACAAAAATGTTTTGATTAACAGGACAGGTTTACAATATATCCTCTGTCCTTGGGGGATCTTGCTGCCAAGTTGAGGTATGATGACTGAACTTCAGGATTGATCAACCTTTTCTTAGCCACTGCTTATATACGAGAAAGACCAAATGCTTGTTTGTAAACTGCGTTGAAAATTTAATGATCCACCTTCAATTCTGACATGAAGGCACAAATGAAATAGTTCCCTCTCCTTTTGGAATACACAAAACAAAATATTTAATAAATTTTAGTGGATGGACAAGAGCAATTAGCATAGCTTTCCCTCAAGTTAACTTCTGGCACTGTTGATGAATTACACTGACGCTTATTCGCTTCATATTTTGTAACAACCGCGCCGTGAAACGCGCTAAAACTGCAATATAACAGCACTATATGCTTCTTGACAAAATGCAATACTGTTAAAAATTTAGCCCTGATGGCATTCATTCTTGGTGGAAAGGTAATTACAAAATATTTTGTAGTAACTATTAAATTCCGGCCGAAGACAGTGCACGGTTTAAAAAAGAATCGTTCCAATGACGGTCCATTCTTGCGGTCCTGAAATCGCCACTATTTCCGGCCTCTCCAACGCAACTCGTTGTCCAGACGTAAATATGCGCCGGTGAAAACAGGGCGCCGGAGGGCATATTAGTCACGTGACATTTGGAGCTTATCCCCCTCCGTGGGCCTTCTACATACCAAACGTCACGTGTAAATTTCACGAACCTTGATCAAATCGCCCCAGGCGCCCTGTTTTCACCGTCGTCCTTCAGGTTGGGCTTGTCTTACTTACTTACTTACGATGTACGAGAATTTTGAAGGCCCTTAGGCCTGTGGGACTCTGACTTATCGAGCTCCATGACGATATCACTGCCTCAGTCATTGGAGTGGATGGTGTAGAGGAGGTGGGACCAGTGGCGGTCGAGCCTGGACTTGAATTCGTTCAGGGATCGCGCTTCAACCACATGAGCAGGAAGAGCATTCCAGTGGGCTCTGGTATTAACTGGATAATTCGCCAGCTGACGCCGTATGGTGGCGCTAGTGGAGCAGCACCATATGACGTCAGCAGAAAACACCGTGAGCAGCTATGAAATGGGAACGAGCACCACGGAAATATCGAAAGGTGATGGACATGTACTGACTTTGGTCATTCAAGTACCACCAACACCATACAAAAACCATATAATATTATCAAGACTGATTCTGGAATCGATTTGTTCGGGTATTTAAAACACACAAAAAATGTTTGTTACCGAATTCTGAAACAGTATAAGGATATTCTTGTTCCTTACTTTTGCCTTGTGGAGTACTTTTACTTGCTTTCTAGTGCGCCCATCACTATCTTGAAATCTGGATTGCAACGCTGTAGGAAAACTTTATTTCATTTGTCATTTCTTCCACTTTTGAGCAGTGATAATTTATTTGGGTTTATACATTCAATAATGAAGACGGCTCCTAACTTTTTAGGGATCTGCAGTGGCTCTGAGAGTAAAATCAGATATTTTCTAGAAACTTGAGGCCACTATTTTCTTATATGCTAGATAATATACAAATATTGACATGTAAAGAATGATACGGGTGTATAATTCTGCATAAATATCAATTCAAAGTATTTAAATTTTTCAAGAACCTTTTTAATTCTTCCATAATGACTTCTTTCAATACAAGCTGGAAGCAATTTCAATCAATAAAGCAGCACAAGGCAGTACATTGAGCTACAATGATCCATAACCAATCGGCACCTGCAATTTGATTGATCTTCGAGATGTACCCTGCCTGTTTCCTGACTTTCCCTTTTCGTTGTACTGGGTGAAGTGAATATTCTGTGAATATTCTTCTGACAGTCAGTTTTTAATCCTACATTATGTTGTCAATCAGATTTAATTGGTTCAAAAACCGTCGTAGTCCGTCTCATTCGCAGTCTACATCTCCACATGCGCACCCATACATGCTCAAAATTTTCACTACGTATGTACTATGTACCCTGCAGCGTATCCTGATGAAAAATGTTTTGTTGAAATCAGAGACACTTCCCAAGGTAGGCCATAGTACATGGCCATATATTTAAGTCAAAACAGATAAACAGATAAACACAATTCCAATCATCAAGTCAACCAGCATCGACAATCTGCACATAAGTTCTAAACCTATTGTAAGACTACTTTGTATTCAAACTTTGTATTGCAGAAGGGTGGAAGCTGCATGGAATTATGCGACAATTTCAGCGTGCATCCACGCTCGAAAGAGCAGGGTTAATTGTAACAATGTCAATACCATAATAACGTAATTGTAGGTGTTGTGATTCGGTTGTCTCTTGTCTGTGCTGGCCATTGCGCGGGCGGTCCAGCGGCGGAACTCGGCTTCGCCGCCGTGGCGCGCTGGCAGTTGCTTCTTCTTCTTCTTCTGCATCCCATTGCCAACCCGCTCAGGGGGGCGGCGGCGCAGGCGGGTCGAGCGGCGGCTCGGTCCGCCCAACATCCTCGATGAAGGTGACGACCTTCGTCGCCGGGCCGCCGAGGACGTCGACCAGGCGAGGGTCGACACCCCAGCGGCGGCGGCGGGCCGCCTCATAGGCCGGACAATCGGTCAGTAGGTGCGCCGCGCGGTCGGGCTCCCCGCACGCGGGGCATTCGTCGTCGGCTTCCGGGCCAATCTTGTGGAGCGTGTCACGGGTCAGCGGTGATGTGCCGGTCCTCAGCTGGGACAGCGTCACCGACCCCAGCGCGCCAGGGAGTCGTGGCCAGGCGTGGGGTCCGGGTGCGGGTGGGCAGCGGTTGCCCTCTGTCGCGACAGCTCCCGGACATGGCGCGTGACGGCGGCCCGCGCACTCGACAGGTCGATCGGTGCGCTGTCTTGGTCGCCCGCCGTGGCCTCGCCAGCCA